GGGGTGCGGGGGGGTGCAGATTCACGCGGGACAATGCCATTATCCAAGAGGCTGGGGTCTATAGCCTCTCTCTGTAAAGATTGAAATAAAAAAAGTCTGTAAGAAACTTTTCCTTGTCTTTATAATTTCCTGGGCAACCAGCTGGGAGCCACTGACAGCATCCTGACTGTCACATAGTTTTCAAGCCCACTTTTTGATTGGAACTTTCTTGACAGGTGATTTTTAAAAAAGCGTTTGCTTGGGGTTCCAAGTGCTCCAACATGCCAATAAATATGAAGGGCAATGGACTCAGCAGCTCAGTCCTATGCACGTACATTCACAAGTCCTGCTGGGTTCAATGAGACTTACAGTATTCCCAGGTAAGAATTATAGGGATGCAGCCTGAAGTTTATTTTTTATCAATGGGAGGGGATTTTCAGTCTGTCCTCTGTTGTTTCTCAAATTAATTTTCAAAACACAAAACCACCATCTAGAATGATGAACATGCACCACTGGTTCAGCTGGAGTATTTTAGCAGTGATGATTTCCACGACAGTGATTTGTTAGCTTCTTTACAATATGGTGGCTGTTGCAGAGACTGGCAGGGTCAATGTTATCCTATGCATGTGTTATCTTACACATGCTTACTCAGAAATAAATCCCACTGTATTCAATGACAGCATAAAGGTAAAGGTAAAGGGACCCCTGACCATTAGGTCCAGTTGTGGCCGACTCTGGGGTTGCGGCGCTCATCTCGCTTTATTGGCCGAGGGAGCCGGCGTACAGCTTCTGGGTCATGTGGCCAGCATGACTAAGCCACTTCTACTTGCACTTTGATGTGCTTTCGAACTGCTAGGTTGGCAGGAGCAGGGACCGAACAACAGGAACTCACCCCGTCGCGGGGATTCGAACTGTCAACCTTCTGATTGGCAAGCTCTAGGCTCTGTGGTTTAACCCACAGCGCCACCCGCGTCCCTAATGACAGCATAGTGTGCAACAAAGCAGTATAATTCCAGTCTCATACCATAGCTGTCTTCTGCTGGTCACTTCTACTATATTCTTCAATTGTATTAGAACATTGATATCTCATAGATGCTGAGAATCCTTCAAGTATATTGACAATTGCTGAGCCAAGGAGAATGTAGCCTGAATATACAAACCCAGCCTTCTCCAACCTGCTGCCATCCAGACGCTTTGGACTCCAACTGCCATCAGACATAAAAACTTCATCAAAAGTCAGAGATGATGGGAGTTTTAGTCGAAAACATCTGGACAGCATCAGGTTGGGGAAATGCTGGACAAGATAAATACATGCTTCAAACAGTCATTTTTGCAAAATGGCTTGAGAAATGGCCTCCATGCAGTAATATAATGTCTCGGGAATGACATAGTAATATGATGTAACCACATGAGATTGCACTCTGTTTGCATAAACAATTTGATTCCTAGAAAGTGGTCTTGTGAATCAGCTCGGAAAAGAAAATGTGGATGGGGAAACAAAGAGGCTAGTTCATGCACAAACCGCTCCTTAATTAGAGATATGAGACTGCATGAGATAGCATGTGGTTCCAGGAACAAAGCTGGTGTTCTGGATCCATTCCATGTGGAATTCAGTCCTAGTTTGAGGACCAACAGATAACCTAGGAGGAACATCAGAGATGGAAGCTGATAGGACAATTCTCTTTGTTATTCTAAACCTCTCAGCAGCTTTCAACATAATTTGAACACTAAACATTACTGGGTCATCAAATATTGACTCAAAATGTTCTACCCATTTGTCATGCTGGCTGCTTTTCCCTCTGCCCTTTCCATCGGTTACTTGGGAGATGCCATATATCAGGGGTGGCAAAAAATTTTTTCTGTTGAGGGTTGCACTCAGTTGAGGGTAGTCTCTTGAGGGCTGTATACTGGCAGCACAAGAGGTCAGAATCAAATATGGGCAGGGGTAGAACCCAAACAAGCCAAGAGCTCAGTCTTTCTGCCACTTATCTCTCTTTCTCTCTGTTTCTGCCACCCTCTTTTCTTTCTTGCTCTTCTTGGCAAGAGGATGGAAGGAAAGCTATAGCCAGATCAACATTTTGTGTCTTGACATGTGTGTTTTAATAATTTTTTTTTTAAATGACATTCATAGAATTGTAGAGCTGGAAGGGACCACAAGGACAATCTAGTCCAACTCCCTGCAATGCAGGAATCTTTTGCCGAACGTGGGGCTCTAACCTATGACCCTGAGATTACGACTCTTGTGTTCTATTGGCTGAGCTGTGCACTAGAGTTAAAATGGATCCCCATTCATTCAGATATTCAACTTCTTAAGACCCAGGGAAGGGACCTGAGGCAGAAAGCCCTCCAGTGGACATATGTGCATGCTAACGTTCTTTTAAAAGTTAGACAACAAAACAGGGGAAATGTACCTGAACACAGAAACATTTGGAGCATGAATGATGAGTGAAAGAGTCATTAGGAAGGATTCTATTGTTTACAAGTGTGACAGCCTTATCTCTGTGTGACTGAGTGACATGTGCATGAAAGTGAAAGTGTGAGTGGGTAGCACTGAGATAGAGAATTTTTTACTTTACATAAAAGAGGGGAAGGTATATGAGCAATACAGTGAGGAGTAATATGTTTGGTTTTGAGATCAGGAATGCATGTGTCTGTTGAGGCTGAAATTACAAATGCATTTTCACACACTTTAATCATCATAATACAACGATCTTCCCCTACGTCTGTTAATGTGTGTTACCACCACTATTCACAATGTATGCTTTCCCAGCTTCAAATGTCATCACACCACCCTCCAGTTAGCAGGTGCAGAGGACTCCCCAGCTTGCCTTCTCCAGATTCGTGGTACACTGTCATCAGACTCTGACCATGATGTGGCTGGTGACAGTCCTGACAGTGTTGCCATCCCATTTTTTGCATTACCTGCTTGCTGATCTATTCTCTCAAATCCCAGAGCTAATGAAATAGTAAGCTAGGAGGATAGTTCTTGTCAATTTCAGTGATGCCGTCTCGGTGTTTCTAACAATTAAAGTATTGCTATGCTTTAATGAAACTGAAAATGCTTTCTACTGACATTTGCAGTGACTGGATAGCAGATGGTAGGATGTGCTTCCAGGTGACCCATTTATTGAGCATTCACCCTGATTCGTTTGCAGGGAGGTCGGATGCTGCTGCGTCAAGCCAAGTGTTAACACACACTATCCAGGGCATTTTGCTGTTCCTTTTCTTATTGCAAAAAGTCTTATATTTGGGGGAAGTGGGTTGGTTGCACATGACCTCCCAATTTGCCAGTACAGTGGTACCTTGGGTTACAGATGCTTCAGGTTACAGACTCCGCTAACCCAGAAATAGTACCTTGGGTTAAGAACTTTGCTTCAGGATGAGAACAGAAATTGTGCGGTGGTGGCGCGGCATCAGCGGGAAGCCCCATTAGCTTAAGTGGTGCTTCAGGTTAAAGAACAGTTTCAGATTAAGAACTGACCTCCGGAACGAATTAAGTTCTTAACCCGAGGTACCACTGTATGTGACTGAATCCCAACCAAAACTAGCAACAGCCCAGAAGTGCCCTAATACAGGGTCATGCCACAGTTGAAGGGCATGGCAGACTTTGGGCTTTCAAATTTCAGTGGTGCCCTGTGTGACTCCAAAATTCACCTCCCCTCCCCTCTCACCTTCCGTTCTACATCCTTGTTTCAGGGTGCAGTGCAGGCAAACCGGTTTCACCCCCTTAAATCCACCTCGGATGGAAAATTGAGGGAGCTGGTCTGCTCCTGTGAGTGATCACTGTCAAAGCAGCACTTTTGTGATGTGTGAAACTGTGAGCAGGTGAGGGGGGGAGGGAGTCACTTCCACATGTATATAAGAACATTATAGCCATGCTGGGTCACATGAGCGCAATAACCTTCTCCTGTTAATGTTCCCCAGAAACTGGTATTCCAAATCTTGGGAGTTAATATACCCACCATGACTAAGAGCCACTGACAGCTTGAAATGGTGGAAACCCCCTTTAAAGCAGTCCAGATGGATGGCCATCACAACGTTGAGTGGTGTTGCATCCCACAGAAAGCGATTGTAGTGTGGTCAGAGCACTGGACCAGGGATCAAATGCTCACTCATCCACTAGGTTCACTGAGTGACCTTGGGCCATTCACAGACTCTCAGCCTAACCTACCTCACAGGGTTGTCATGAAGACAGAAATGGAGAGGAGGGAAACCATGTCCGCCACCTGAAGTTTTCCTTTGGAGGAAAAGTGGGATAGAAATGTCACAAATAAGCAAATAATAGTTCAACCATGCGCTGTGTAAAGAACTGCTTTTCGTTTTTGTGTGCCTTCCAACTTTAATAAAGGTAAAGGGACCCCTGACCATTAGGTCCAGTCGTGGCCGACTCTGGAGTTGCGGCACTCATCTCACTTTATTGGCCGAGGGAGCCGGCGTACAGCTTCCGGGTCATGTGGCCAGCATGACTAAGCCGCTTCTGGCGAACCAGAGCAGCGCACGGAAACACCGTTTACCTTCCCACCGGAGCGGTACCTATTTATCTACTTGCACTTTGACGTGCTTTCGAACTGCTAGATTGGCAGGAGTAGGGAGCGAGCAATGGGAGCTCACCCCGTCACGAGGATTCGAACCGCCGACCTTCTGATCAGCAAGTCCTAGGCTCTGTGGTTTAACCCACAGCGCCACCCGCGCCCCAACATTAGGCTTCCTTTAATGGCCATGGGTCCTGCTAGCTTGTGTCAGGGCAGAGGGAGAAATGTTTATCTCTTGCCACTTGGGATCGCTCACTAGGTAGACACGAGACCCTTCGTCTCGGGGTCCAGGGTTTGAGCCCCATGTTGGGCAAAACGATTCCTGCTTTGCAGCGGGTCGGACCAGATGATCCTCGTGGTCCTTTCCACCTCTACATAGCTGTCAACTTTTCCCTTTTTTAAAAAGGGAAATTCCCTTATTCCGAATGGATTCCTCGCAAGAAAAGGGAAAAGTTGACAGCTATGCTGTCTGAGTCTTGAAGGAGAGCCATGCACATGATTCCTCTCTATGCCATGCGTTATCTTACGCACCTCTTACCAGGTCCTCTCCTACGACGAGCCTTCTTCATGGGCGAGTTTTTCCGGGCCCTTGGTCACCTGCCCTTTTCTCCACTTCTACAAGATCGTACGGAAGTGAAAGCTGGACCATAAAGAAAGCTGATTGCCGAAGAATTGATGCTTTTGAATTCTGGTGCTGGAGGAAACTCTTGAGAGTCCCATGGACCGCAAGAAGATCAAACCTATCCATTCTTAGGGAACTCAGCCCTGAGTGCTCACTGGAAGGATGGATCCTGAAGCTGAGGCTCCAAGACTTTGGCCACCTCATGAGAAGAGAAGACTCCCTGGAAAAGACCCTGATGTTGGGAAAGATGGAGGGCACAAGGAGAAGGGGAGGACAGAGGACGAGATGGTTGGACAGTGTCTTCGAAGCTACCAGCATGAGTTTGGCCAAACTGCGGGAGGCAGTCGAAGACAGAAGTGCCTGGCGTGCTCTGGTCCAGGGGGTCACGAAGAGTCGGACACGACTAAACGACTAAACAACAACAACAACAACAACAACAAATGCCAGAAGTAGCTGTGGCCAAAAGTGGATATGTCCATCTCTCTGCTCTCACATATACATAAAAACCCTGCTGGATCAGATCAAAGGCCTATCTAGAACAGCATCATGCTTCCCACAGTGATGCATGTTGGTACGAATTCCCTAATTTCACATATACACTTATCGGGTCTGAACTGGTGTTGACTGACCAGAGAAGAGATATTGGGGTCATGCTGAATAGTTCGATGAAAATGTGAAGCTAGGAACGAGGACGAGATGGTGGGACAGTGTTCTCGAAGCTACCAGCATGAGTTTGACCAAACTGCGGGAGGCAGTGGAAGACAGGAGGGCCTGGCATGCTCTGGTCCAGGGGGTCACGAAGAGTCGGACACGACTAAAAGACTAAACAACAACAACACAAGATCGTTTCAGAGGTGAGTTAACGGCGCAAAGTATCCCTGCGCATTCCCCCCCCCCCCGCGCGCGCGCCTGCCTCCTTTCCGCGCCTGCGGTTTCGTGGGGCGCGCGCGCGCAGGCGGCGCGTGGGCGGGAAGGGGGCGCCGCTCGCAGCCCCCTCCCCCGCCCTCCCCGAGAGGCGCTCTCCAATCCCCGGCAGCCAGCCTCTTCTTAAAGTGGCGCTGCTGTCGGGCGGCGAGGCACTCTTCGCCGCGGCTCCTCCGACTTTCAAGCGCGCTTGCTGCTTCTCCTCAAGCGAGCCGAGGCGGGGGCCGAAAAGGCGCTCGGAGAGCAGCCGCGCCCTCAGCCCTTGCCGTCCGCACGAGAGCGCGCGCCGCGGACTTCCCGCCAAATCGCCCTCCTCCGCCAGGTGGGTGATTCTCACGGCCCCGGGGCTGTGAGAGAGGGGGGCGGGGAGGGGGCGGCAGACCCCAAAGTGCGGGAAATGGGTTAGGTATATCTATAAAGTGCGGGGCAGGAAGTTTCAGAGCTCACCAGCGTTTCACAGGGGGACAGGATCTTCTAAGGCGGGGGGGGGGGCAGCTCCCAAGAGACTGCGATCTACTCACAGAGTTAAGAACTGGCAGTGATCGACCCCCTTTTGGGGGGTTCAGGTCAAAGTTGTTGAGCTTTTCTTTGGGGAGGAGGAAAGCCCGTTTTTAGGGGTGCCGGGCAAAGCTTTTCTTTAGGGGAGCCAAAGTTATTGAGCTTCTGAGGGGGGGGGCAGTGATCTACTACAAATGTCCAGTGTTTTACCGGTAGGTCACGAACTACCTGTTGGACATGTCTGTTCTAAGAGAACTGCCGCTTTTCTCCTCCTGACAAAGTTTTCGGAGCTTTGCAACCAATACTGTGTAGTAATAGTATTATTATTAATAATAATAATAATAATGATATACTGTGTAGAGCACAGGGCAAAAATTTGACAGAAGTTTCCCCATCCCTGAGTTTCTGTAATGAGGGAAGCTCCACCTGTTGAATTTCCACTTGCAAAGAATTTGCTCAAGTCTGGGGGACGTGTGTGTGTGTGTGTTTGTGGCAGGGTTTGTGCCAATGCGACTCTTTGATCTCCCCGTCATATTCTCTGGTTCAGCATGCATTTGAGATTGCCGGGTGATGCTTAATAAAGAGAGAAACACAAATTGGTCGCTTCCTAAAATCTGCTAGCCATCCTGTCGTATTCTCCATTAGCTGAGGTTTATGGTTGCTCCGAAGTGTGGGGAAATGTGGGTTCTAATCTGCGTGAGTGGTTCTGACTACACACATTGAGGGCACATTTTCCCTCAAAGAATTCTGGGCACTGTAGTTTGCCCCTCGGAGTTGCAATTCCCAGGAACCCTTACCAAACTACAGTGCCCAGAATTCTTTGAGGGAAAGAACATGTTTCAAATGTGCCTTAGAGGTATAGTATGGAACCAGTGGGTGGGAATCGGTTGTTTTGAATCAATTGCCACAGAGCACGAAGATGTCATATGCATATGTAACAGAGGGAATGGCATGACCAGGCAGAGGAGAAGAGAAGCTTTTTTAAAAAAAATTTTTTTTTTTTATTTTTTCCATGCTTATTTCCATGCTTATTACATACCTAAAAACAACAATGGAGAAGAGAAGCTTAAGGGGAGACATGATAACAGTCTTCTTCAAATACCTGAAGAACTGACACACAGAAGACCAAGCAGAATTTCTCTCTCTTGGTTTGGGCTAGAATTCATGGGTGGAAATGGTAGGGAAGCAGATTTCAGCTAAACAGTAGAAAAAATGACTGTTTTTGGCTGGGGAGTGGACTGCCTTGGGAGGTGGTAGCCTGTCATTCACTGGAGATATTTACATAGAGGTAAAAAATACTGTAGCATCCAGGGTATATGAGGACCCCTTTGCTTTGCCCAAGAGACCCTCAGAAGAGGCAATAACCCTGAGTCTTGAAGGAGAGCCATGCACAGATATGGAAGATATACACAGCAAAGGTAAACATAGATTTGCTAATGGGTATATGGTCTAAACCACTGAGCCTAGGGCTTGCCGATCGGAAGGTTGGCGGTTCGAATCCCCGCGATGGGGTCCCTGCTCCTGCCAACCTAGCAGTTCAAAAGTTCGTCAAGTGCAAGTAGATAAATAGGCACCGCTCCGGCGGGAAGGTAAATGGAGTTTCTGTGCGCTGCTCTGGTTTCGCCAAAAACGGCTTAGTTATGCTGGCCACATGACCTGGAATAACTGTCTGCGGACAAAACCCTTGGCCAGTAAAGCGAGATGAGTGCCACAACCCCAGAGTCATTCACGACTGGACTTAACTGTCAGGGGTCCTTTACCTTTTTACCTTTATATATTCATCAGGGAGGTGCAGCCTGTCCTGGCTCCCTGGCAAGTGAATCTGCATGATACATTTGCTTGCAAAACACCTCTTTGTCACATTATTATGTACACCTTTCAAACTTTTTAAGTTAGCAGCCAAAACATGTGATGTAATAAAGAAGAGTAGCCAATTCAGTGCGGTGAATTGCTGTGCAAAGTACTGAAGAAGATTGATCTCTATTTTGGAGATTTTGCAGGCACAGATAATCCCATTTCTAAGCTTTTCAGAGCAAACACGAGATAGGGTATAGTTGATAGCATAGGGCCCCTGAGCAGTTGCCCCTCTTTCAGTGCCAGCCTGGCCATGCTGCCTACGGACGTTTTCTTATAAGGATGAATTATTTGGTAGGCAGGATCAAGTGCTTCTGAGTGCCCAGTTTACTAACTTGCATCTCTGGCAGGACAGCTGCTGAAACTTAGTGCAAGTTAACTGTTTGCTAACAGACTGGCTGCATTTTAGAGGAGTAGTTTTTCTTTTGGTAGAAACTGCTTTTCAGTGTAAATGAGTGGGGCTGCTATTTTCAGGGTTATAGCAATTTTGCTGTAAGTTTGGGGAGGTGAACTGTTAGTTTACCAAATGATTTTCCTTTAATGGAGAAAACACTTGGCATCAGACCAAGCAAGTAAGTTTTGAATACTGCCTTTGATCTGGTATATTTTGGGGTATTTCTCTATAGATTACAGTATCTCATTTCAGACATAACACAGTTCTGCTTCAGGTATGTGTCTAAGCAAATGTGTGAGTGGCGTTGGATGGCTGACCAAGGCTGAGTTAAGCATGAGGGTGAACATCAATATGCTGGAGTATCACTAGGAGCAAGCAGGAATATGGATGCAGAAAGGAGTGTGTCTGAGAGAGAAAACTTTTTATAGCAGTGTGTTTGTTTAGTGTGACATACACAATGCTTACAATAAGCAATCATATGTATGCATCCGTGTAATGTGGATATATTGATAAGCATGCATTAAGATGTGTAAGAGCATCTATGTAATTGCACACTGCAGTTATGTAAAGACTGCAGTCCTCAAAGTTAGGCTCCTTATGTTCAGAATAACAGGATGGCAGCTAAAGTCATCAGCCCTTGCATGCTCTCTCCTCTCCAAGGATCTCATGACTATCAGCTACTTAGAATTAGGGTTGCATTATTTAGGGACTGGGAGCCAATGCAGATCTCTCTGAGATCTAATGTTGCATATTCACACTGGTCAGACGTACACAAGAGCAGGAGGCAGCCCACCTGGTACCATCCAGATGGTATTGGACTCCAATGCCCATCAACCCTGAAAATTTGCCATCCTGCTGGGGCTGATGGGAGCTGTTGTCCAACATCAGCTGGAGGCAACCACATTGACTAACCCTGCATTAGAGAATGCTGATAATCTGATTTGGGTTACTATGAACCATTGCTACTGTACCTCCAAGTTTTTGTAATCCACCTAGAGGTTCTTTTTGCAATCAAGCAGTATATACTTATGGTTAAATAGCTAGCTAAATAAAGATATGGTGCCTCACTAGTTTTACGCCTGCATTCTGATTTTCAAAGCATTATTTGTCTGCAAACTCACAGAAAAGTCTGTAATCCTGGTTGAGATGAGTTTAGAAAAGCTTCGAAACTGAAAATGGGACCGAGAAAGTAAGAGTGATAAAAAGGAAACCATGCAGGAGGAAATGTAAAAACGATTAATTCTGTTTACAACTATTTAATTCATATAAAACATTTTTAGCTGTATTCTCTGTCTGCTGCCTCCAAAGTTGCAAACAGTTACAAATAACAAAATACTGAAATAATGTGTAACCATATAAAACCTGGCAGGAAAACAATAATAGTAGCCAGCAGATTTAAAAGATACTATCTGCAGCTGTTTAAAACAATAGCTTCCAGATTAGCTTTCTTTACAAGCCATGTTTTTCCTTTTTTCTGGAAGGCTGGCAGTGGTAGAGCTGAGTAGACTTAAAGTGGGCAACGTATCATGTGGGTGCCATGGAGGAGACCAATGCCCTTGCCGGACGTTCTTGTCTAAAAAGATTCATCCCAGATTGTAAAGGGCTTTAAGGGTTAAATACCAGCACTTTGTAATTAGCCCCAGAAGGAAACAGGCAGCCACAGTGGTTGAACCAAACAGTGTTAGAAACTGAGATATGAAAGCTAGGAGCTAAATGGCACCTTAAACCTAGGTTATGGGCACAACAATGGAATGTCTAGGCATGCTTTTTTATAAGAAGAATACAAAGCTGAAAATGAATGAGCTGCAGCTAAAATATGATGCTCATTTTTCACATGGTCTAGTTCTTCCCCTGCCCACCCCCCTAATATTCTTAAGAGGGTCTCTTCTCCAGTCTACAGAGAGTAGCTAGAAGTGGGGAGGCAGAAAAGGGGCCTCTTTTCCTTCCACTCTGCAGTTTTAATCTGAAATCTTAGGCGCAGCCAGAGCTCGGAAGCTACTTGCACTAATGAAATTCCCTGTCGCAAAATGCGCCTAGAGCAGGGGTCTGCAACCCGCGGCTCCGGAGCCGCATGTGGCTCTTTTACACCTTTGCCGTGGCTTCGGGGCAGATACTAGCGAGGGGAGGAGGCGCATTGTGCGCCCCGACACTCCCCACTGTGGCTGGTGCTGTACTGGCTGTGACGTCGCATGGGGGCGGTGCGTGCGTTAGTCACGCATTGTCCCAACGTCGCCTTCCCACCTGCTGTCAGATCGGAGGGCAGCGGCGTGCATGCTTTAAATGTCGCAATGGTTTTGCGGCTCCCAGTTGTTGTTTTTCTTCGGAAACGGGTCCAAGTGGCTCTTTTTGTCTTAAAGGTTGCAGACCCCTGGCCTAGAGCAATGGGAGTTTCGAACACTGGAACCAAAATGAGAATAATGGATGTGCCCTGGGACATGCCTATCTCAGGCTGCTGCATTTTGCACCAGTGGCAACTTCAAAAAGGCAGAGCACATTGCAGTCACCCAAGTGCATTTTAGGCACCCATCTATGTCTTAGAAAAAGGCAAAGTGACTCATTTCCCTTCTTGAATTTTTATTTTTTTAATTATTTGTTTATTACTTTCCCCTTGCCATGCACAGTGACCACCCCCCCATTTGTCGTTTGTTCAGGAGCACAATCAGTAAGGCAAAAAGCTTACCATAGTGCATCCAAACTGAAATCATACACTTCTCTTCTTGCTGGTGCTACAGTCCAGCTTTGGTGTCGTATAGTGGCCTCCAGCCAGTGATACCCTCTCAGCTAGGAACAATGGCGTAAATTTCACCAGCTCATCAGCAAACCTGTATTTGCAAGCTACTGCTAGCTTATCAAGGACTTTATTTCGAAACTTAATTAGGAACACAATATTTTAAATCCACCAGAGAAGAAAACCTACTTCATATATTTTACGTGAGGAATATGCAAGTCACCAGATGAGATTATTGCAATCTATGCAAGTGTTGGCATACTCAGGAGGTGCAGAATCTTGTTGCTTGGCTAGTAACAAATATGAGCCTGTGGTTAAACAACTGAGGTGGTTACTAGTTTGCTTCCAATCCTTCTGTGGGCTGTCCATCCGTTTGCCTCTTTAATGCAATTCCCTAAACAAGTGAAATGAATCTTGTTTCGCTGTCCTGTTGGAAGTTAGTCCCTTTCCAATTTTCTGCTGTTGATGTTTTTGTATCGAATCTTGTTTTGCTTTAGTTTATTTTATTATTTATACAGTGGTACCTCAGGTTACATATGCTTCAGGTTACATACGCTTCAGGTTAAAGACTCCGCTAACCCAGAAATATTACCTTGGGTTAAGTTCTTTGCTTCAGGATGAGAACAGGAATCGTGCTCTGGCGGCACGGCATCAGCAGGAGGCCCCATTAGCTAAAGTGGTGCTTCAGGTTAAGAACAGTTTCAGGTTAAGTACAGACCTCCAGAACAAATTAAGTACTTAACCCGAGGTACCACTGTATTCTAATTGCTTTTATATTATTGCTTGCATGTCACTTCAGAGCATAAACTGAAAAGAAGCATATGCATCTTTTAAATAATTCCCAAACAATTGTGGCCAGTGTACCAAATGTTTCCTGCTACTGAGGAGACCTTTTTTATCTTACTGTTACAGCTGAGACTGTACCTTCTTCATTAAATATCAGGGCAGACAGTGTTCTTGATCCATGGTGGTTTTATTAGATTGTGCCTACAATTAACCTAGGCTTGTTAATCCAGTGATGGGTTCCAAATTCTGACACATGGGCTGATTGGCTGGGGAAGTAATGCCCTTGTCTTCAGTAGAGAGGATATGTCTGACTGATAAAGGTTAATACAAGTATTATATTGGGTTGTATCAAAGGGCGTAATCTGTGAGTCCAGATTGCATGCCACTAGGTAGGTAATTTCAGTTTGATTCGTTCTGTTCCTGAGTAGGAGACAGAAAGCAACATTTTAATTGTGTGCAAAGAGAGCAGCAGAGATGGAATTTAAGCCTAAGAGTTCAAAGAAGGGAGGTAGCTAAGAAAGCATTGCTTTGTTGTCTTCTAAGGCTGTGCAGAGAAATTATTTCTGTGGAGCAACAAGAGTAACTTCCCATCACCACGGTCACACTAGCCAGATTCTATTTTGATAGATGATAGATAGATAGATAGATAGATGAAAGATAGATTCTATTTTGATAGATGATAGATAGATAGATAGATAGATAGATGAAAGAGAATGGAGCCTTTTTGTAGGTGGGGTTGCCTGATGCATGACATGTTCATTTAAAAGAAATTTAAACACTCACAAACGTCGTCCCCAGTTCATGTGTCTTGCTATAGGAAATAACCAGGTTTGCATATGAAATAAACATGTTTGACAGGTAATGTATGGTGGTGTTCTGTTTCTAGCTTTAGAGAGGATTCAGTATAATCTTTTAAAAAAACAAAGTGCTAGCTTTCCCAGAAATTAATTGGCCAGTCATTATGTAGTACTTATAAGGGAATAATAGGCAGTGACCTCTTGTTCCTCTTACAAATCTGAAGCGTGAAAATGGCAGTGTGCTAATTAAAGTTCCACATAAAATTGCTTGCTGTTATTTATCTGCTTTCTTTTTCTTCCCATGATGAAGGATATGTATGTTGGTACTCCTGTGCTCCCTCCACACTTTGCAGTTTCCATTTTTCACACTCATATTCTCCCGCTTTCTCTCTCTTTCTGAACCCTCTCCCACTGCTCCCCTTCCCAAGCTGTCGCTCCCTCGGGAAGAGAGAATGAAGAGTCCTCTGGTGCTGACAGTGCTGCTGTCCTTAATAGCAGCAAAACTGTGCCAGGCTTACTGTATTGAGTCCCAGGAGCAGCAGCTGCCCAGCGGAATGCAAACAAAGGTGAGAGTGGCTAGAATTTTGTTGGAAGAGGGGATAGGAGGTTGCTGGTGAGTGGAACGGCTTCTGTGCTGGGTAAGGATCTGCTCCAAATAAGTTCCTGCCATGGTACCAGTGTGGTTTTTAGAGCCTTGCATTTCAGGAGTTGAGACTGAACCCATCATCCACTTCGGAAAACCTGAGGACTCAAAATACTAAAGTTAATGCATAATTTTGTTTTACCCAGATAAGGTAAAGGTAATGGGGGGGGGGGAGACCCCTGACCATTAGGTCCAGTCATGGCTGACTCTGGGGTTGCGGCGCTCATCTCGCTTTATTGGCCGAGGGAGCCAGCGTAAAGCTTCCGGGTCATGTGGCCAGCATGACTAAGCCGCTTCTGGCAAACCAGAGCAGCGCACAGAAATGCCGTTTACCTTCCCGCCGGAGGTAAGGTTACCTATTTATCTACTTGCACTGTGTGCTTTTGTTTTTTTTTTTTTAAAATCATATTTATTGAAGTTTCCAAAAATATAAAAGTACAAAGAAAAAAGATAAAAGAAAGAAGATATTTAAAAACCTTACTTTCATTCCCTACTTTCTGAACTCCCCCCCCCCCGGTTGTATTCCCCTTTCCTTAATTTGGTTCTACAAGCTCTCACTCCCAAATTTAAAGCTTAATTTGTTTAACCCACTATCCAATTTGAATTGTACAAATCTTACCACCGTCCCACATCATTAACAGAAAAAGAAAAAAGATTTTCCCCAAGATCCACCCCAGTTCCTTCCACAAATTCCCTTTTTTTAAACACGTCCGATCAAAGTAAAATAACATGCGTAAGTTATGTAAAGAAATAGAAAATAAAAGATATAGAAAAGTTCAAAAATGGTTACACAGCCTTTGGATTTCAAATCTCCCCCTTCCCGGTTTGAATTCCCCATGTCCATCAGTCTATACATTATCAGCTTGGAAATCTCATTTCATGACCAGATTTCTCCCGATTCCATCTTGCCGGTTTTCTTTTAGTTTATTAATTTAAATAATATTTGACTTCAAATGTCCAATCTAACAAAGGCCTTTAATTTCCTTGATCTTTACCACTCCTCCCGTTGTTCTTTCCGTGTCGTAATCAGTCCTTTATTCTTCTTATTCCTCGCTTTCTCAGGTTTCTTGTCCTGTTCAGCTGCTAAAACTTTCTAATTCAGAAATCTAGTGTCTCTGCAGAGGTTTGTTATTCAGGAACAAAAACTTACGTCCAGTCCCTTTCTTTCTTCAATAAAAATTCCATTGTCTTCCTCTGTAGACAAAATACTCTTTCAGTTTTGCAGCTTTCCCAGAAGATAACAAATCCTGTGCGAATCCCAGGGTATTTTTCCACTTACGACCGTTCTTGTAGTATCCTGAAACCCCTCTAGGGGGATTGTAATAACTTTGTATCCTCTAATCCAAAAGTCAAATTGTTGCTTATTTTCCAACAGTTTATATCCATATTATAGCAAATTGTAGCAAAATTTACCAGCAAAGTCCTCATAAAGTCCTCTTTATATTCTCCAGCTTTGACAGCCACTTTGACAGCTGTCAAAGTCTCCGTCTCTCTTCACCAGGCTCCACGAATCGCCCCAGTTCCCAGGGGGGGGGGTTGCATTTTACTTCTCATCCTCCACTCTTCTCCTCCAGCTCATTTCTTATAATTTCCCATCGTGAAATTAATGATTTTTATCAGAAACATACTTCCCTTTGGACCTTGGTTACCCAGTCCTTGTTTTGGAATGCTTACAATAGGGGGGGGGATTGACTTCCTTTTTAAATCGCCCCCCGCTCGTGCCAAATCCAAAATCCAAAATTTTAAACCCGGTTTCCCAATTACTCACGGGTTGTTGTTAAAAGTCCAAATTTTCAATAGAAGAAGTCAGCGCTCTCCGTCGAATGGCATGCGGCTGCGCTCGGCAGGGAAAGCAGTGGACTCAAGCACCACGCCACTCCCCGGCACCCGATCCGAAGCCTTTAAAAAGGCTCCTTCACGAGTCGGGAGGGCGCTAATGGTGCAAGCCGAGTCACCCATGTCCACGGACTCCGTGCCCGTGGTTTTTAAGGGTCCCCGCGTCGCCGGCGCGGTAGGACCCAGCCCCTGCCGAGCAGACTCCCTCCGGAGCTCGGAGGGAGTCCGCCATTCGGCGATGGCGCTAACCCGGAAGTCCCTGCACTGTGTGCTTTTGAACTGCAAGGTTGGCAGAAGCAGGGACCAAGCAACTGGAGCTCACCTCATCGTGGGGATTCGAACCGCCGACCTTCTGATCAGCAAGCCCAAGGCTCTGTGGTTTAACTCACAGCACCACCCGTGTCCCTTGATACCCAGATAGAAGCTAATTAAACAAAGATAATAATCCCCAAACACTCCCCTGTTGTGACTTCTGCAACAGTAAATTGTCCAAGGCTTGGAAAAGTTATTCTGATGTTTCTCTATATTTCATGGGTTTCTTTCCAACATAGTTTTTCTTCTAACGTTTTGCAAACAGGATATATTTCAAGTTTTGACATACAACACAAAATTGGATTCTGCCCCCTGCCCCCAATTTCATTATTTTTACCTGATTTCCTACAGTGTAAAATGGAAATGAACAAACAAATAATGGAAAATATATTACCAATGTACACTGTTTTAGAGAATCAGGAAATGTGATCATGCCTAGTCACTTTCTCAAGGCTAGAAACCTGAATCAATTAAAAAGAAAGGTGGTACTGTGTAATTTATCTGTTGACTTTCACCTGCAGTTGCTACAGTTTGAAGGAGTATTGAGGTTTATAATACAGAGGAAGATCCTATTTCTTCCCTATAAAAATGTTAATTCGGTTCCCCCATAAACACACCCCATGGCAAGACATTCATACATCTTTCATCTAAGGCAGTGGTTCTTATCCTTTTTGAGGGTCACAAACGTCTTTGAGAATCTGATAAATGCTGGACCCTGCCCCCAGAAAAGTGCACATACACAAACATAAGTTTGCATATAATTTGGCTTGGTTCAGAAACCCCTGGAAGCCAGAGCAATGTACTTCAGACGACTTCTCCTTTTATCCACACAACAACCCTGTGGAGTAGGTTAGGCTGTGATACAGCAATTGGCCAATGGGACTCGTGGCTCAGTGTTGATTGAATCCATGTATCCTCAGTCTTGAGTCCAAACTTCTAAAATGATAAACTGCCTTCCTGAACTAGTGAATTTCTCAAGAGAGGAAGTTCCGTAATGTTCAGACCACAGCAGAGAACCCAAGCAGCTGCTGAATTAATCTTGTTTGATGATAGCATGTTGAGCAGGACCTCCATTACAAAGCTGAAACTGAAAACAAATACTGATTCCCCTACTACTCGGTGTTTTCATTGTGACTCCTTTGGAACAGGGATTAACTCTCCTGAGCCTGCTTAGAGAGCCCAGAAGCATCTGCCTGGTCATGGCTGGCTACTGCTCCTGAAGGGCTCTTCATACATTTCTGGCACAACTAGAACTTTGGGATTGCTTTGGCTCACAAATCTTACCAATCTATTTATTACACAAGAACAACAGGACCTAAACGCAGCAGGAGAGGTTTCCAAATTCCTTGTTAATGAGCCCTGCTTTACATGCAGTGATTTTGTACACAGATGTAACTTCTGTGTTGGAAAACCATAAGCATTTTCTGTGCGTGCCATCATGTGAAGTGCATGTGAATCATACACACACACTTTCTGCATTGGTGGGACTTGAGGCAGTGTAGAGGGGTCTTCCTGGTGGTTTCCCATCTAAACACTGAGCAGATCCAGACCAGCTTAGCTTCATGTTACTTAAGGCCTTTCCTTGGTGACCTTTGGCTACACATGGACCCTGTATAATAGTGAACACTTGGCAAATGGCAGTTTAATTTGGTACATGCACACAATGATTCAGTGAACTAGCCACATGTGAACCCATCACAGGCAAATGTGTACATATGGTTTCCCAGCATGGATGTGGTATCTGTGTTTGTCACACATCTCCGTCCCCCGCCAAAAAATAAAATAAAATAAAATTCCTGGAATCTGCAGTTGATTAAGCTCTGTGAAGGGTAAACTTCAGTTCACATTTCTTTGAGGGGAGTCATGTGCTTTAATAATAATAATAATAATAATAATAATAATAATAATAATTTATTATTTATACCCCGCCCATCTGGCTGGGCCTCCCCAGCCACTCTGGGCGGCTTCCATAGAAACAAAAAATATGCTTTAAATGTATGGTGTGGGTGAGACTGAAGTAGCCATCCACTTGTTCTGTTATCTGTGATGGAACAATGGGACTCAAGTGTAAATTATGCTAGCTGAATCAGAGGAGTTATTACATGGGTATGGAGGCTGGAAACTGTTCAATGAACAGACGAGAACAGAGAAGAGGTAATGAAGAAGTTAATGCAAAACTGGTGCCCTAGTTCAGGCATAGGCAAACTTGGCCCTCCAGATGTTTTGGGACTATAATTCCTATCATCCCTGACCACTGGTCCTGCTAGCTAGGGATCATGGGAGTTGTAGGCCAAAAACATCTGGAGGGCCGAGTTTGCCTATGCCTACCCTAATTTGTAACAAAGAAGACGTGGCTTTGCAGGTGATTCTATCAGATGTGGACACCAGCAGTACAAAGAGAGATAAGCCCGGACGTGTACCTACAACACAGGGAGCAGGCTTGACATCCCTCTGCCCCCCCCAAAAACCCCCATGAGCGATCTTGTCCATCATATGCAGTGGTCCATAGTTTACATTTTAGTAAATAAATAACGTCAATTTTCCTCTCCTGGGCACTCATTCACTTATTTTATATCAACAGACTAAACAGACTATTCAGGCATTAATATTGATGATATTGTGCTTTATTTTGAATGGGGTGGGGAGCAAAGTACTGTGATAGGAAGGGAAGCTCAAGTAAGTGAGAGACAACGTGGGCATATGGATGGAAAAGCATGACTAGAAGCCAATAGATTTGCAGGGTGGGGCAGACAGATTTGCAGGGCATGAAGCTCCCCATTATTGAATACTGGAGCCTTCTCCAGAAATGGCCCCTATGTTTCTAAAACATATCATGTGCACCATAAACAGTATACAAGTTTCTTATTTATTTTATTTATTTAACAGTTTGTATACCACTTAATAACAGGGGTGCTAACTTCAATAAAATATTGGGGGGGGGGGTAGGTAAGCCCTACCACACATAATTGATCACAAGACGTGGCACATGCACACCATTTGAATGGCAATGCACATCAACTTGGGGGGCGGCCCTCTCAAATATTTTATGGGGTGTGTGTGAAGGGACCTCAGCCCCTAGGAATTGGGTCCTATGATTACAGTTATGTAGAAGAAACCTAGCAAATTAGACTAAAATGATTCAAACTATAAAATCAGAGTTCAATTTTAAAAGCCCTGCTGAGATACAAAAAAGAATAAGTCTTCAGTAAGGACTAGGGTGTGGGTGGCGCTGTGGTCTAAACCACAGAGCTTAGGGCTTGCCGATCAGAAGGTCGGCGGTTCGAATCCCCGCGACGGGGTGAGCTCCTGTTGTTCGGTCCCTGCTCCTGCCCACCTAGCAGTTCAAAAGCACGTCAAAGTGCAAGTAGATAAATAGGTACCGCTCTGGCAGGAAGGTAAACGGCGTTTCCGTGCGCTGCTCTGTGCTCTGGTTGGCTAGAAGCAGCTTAGTCATGCTGGCCACATGACCTGGAAGCTGTTTGTGGACAAACGCCGGCTCCCTCGGCCTATAGAGTGAGATGAGCGCCATAACCCCAGAGTCATTTGCGACTGGACCTAATGGTCAGGGCTAAGTTTACCTTTACCTAAGGACTAGAAGTTCAACTGGAAGGGATTTCCAAAAAATTGTGCCCACATTACTGAATGTACGGGCTCCTTGTGGGTATGAGCTGTGCGCCCAAGTCATGGGTGACCCCCCCCAACAGCGACCCCCAAAGACCTCAAGGATCAAAAGGAGAGATATACGGGGTCAGGCTCTTGGTCTGTATCCTGCTCTACTTTTGATTCCTTGGAGTTAGTTGGGTATCTCTCAGTGTTAGGCTGTTGGTCCCTCATTGCTTTTTGTGATGGGGCCTTGTACATAATGAAACAACAAGTGGTTCAAAGAAGGCTCTTTGGTGCAGTTACAAAAAGTTGCTCTTTCTTTTCTTTTCTTTTCTTTTCTTTTCTTTTCTTTTCTTTTTTACTCAAAGCTGTTTCAATAACCTAAAAGCCTATACATCCTGTGGAGAATAAAATGTTGGTCTGCGATAATGACTACGCAGGAGGGAACATCTCTCCAACTGCAGTCTGAAATGAGAGCCAGTGGCGTAGCGTGGGTTGTCAGCACCCGGGGCAAGGCAAGTAATTTGCACCCCCTAACCCGTGGATTTTAGCACTCGAGTCTCTTCCGCGCCCCCCCAGATGTTGCGCCTGGTGCGGCTGGCCCCCCCTGCACCCCCCACGCTACGCCACTGATGAGAGCTTCTATGAGCCAGTGGTCTCTTGGTAGCCAAGCGATGGCTTGAGAGCCAAGTACTTCAGTGCATCTGCATGTGCGAAGAGGTTGATTTCTACGTATTAGAGAAATTATTTACCGTGAAATGAAGCAAGTATAAAACCATCCAAGATCCTGGCTTCAAAGGCTCATACTTTTGGCTTTCTTTGCTTTTTTTGCAACTAATTTATATTGTTGAAATGTTTACCCCACAACTTTCCCCCATTTATAAAGATATCAAAGGATTAAATCATTTGCCCAAGGTCATGAAGGCAGCCTTTAGTGGAACTCAAATCTCTCAGTTCCTAAAATACCGTAACCAAACAGCCCCAATCTAGTATAAAATTAGACGTCTGGCTAATGAGAGGTTGAGGGAGATCTGTGAACTTGATCATTAGCTGTCTTGTTTTCAAAGCTAAAGCAGAAAGTTTGGAGAGAACAATTTCTATCACTGTCTTTCACATGCAGAGATAATGGCAGCTTCAGTATTGTATATCATCTAGGATAAGGCTGGGGAACCTGTGGTTTCCAGATGTTATTGGACTACAGCTTCCATGATCCCTATTGACCATGTTGGTTGGGGCTGATGGGAGTTGTAGTCCAAAAACATCTGGACAGGTCGGTGAAGGCTGATCTACTTGTGGTGCTGAAGGCATAGAGCTGGCCACACAGTCTCCTGGCATTTGGAAGCAACATGCATGGTGGAACACCTTCTTGGTAGCCAAAACTATAATCATCTTTCCATATTCTAAGTCTGCTGAAGAGGCTTTCGGTGTGTAGATGGTCTCTAATCTGATGTAAAAGGGGCATTCTTTCATAGGTATGAAAAGGGGAAGTTAAAAAGAAGATGAGGTCCCCCCCAATCTCTCTTAAAAAGAGCTTTCTGCTCTGCAAATTACTTTTGTAGACAAGACCCAGCTGGAGTCTTAAGTGGCTGTTTTTGTCAAATCCCATCTGAATCAGATCTGCTGAGGATAAAAAAGCTTTGAGAAATCCAATTCAACCCTCTCCCATCACCTTCTGTTCCTGTCACATCCTTACTGTCCAAAAAGAGAAAAGAAAAAGCCTCAAATTACTGTAGCTTTAAGGCTCTCACGAAGCAATTCCACATTTTTGGATGCGGCTGACCTTCGGACCAATTTCACATTTCTCTCTCCTGGAATTACTTCACTCTTAGCATAGGCAGCAGTTTTAACCAGATTAAATTAGAGGACACCCCCGCCCTGCCTTCGCTTTATTCTTCGAGATAGATTTAAATTCTGTAACTAACGGTAGATGTAATTGACAAAGTTTTTTCACTTGAAAATTATGCTTTGATTACGGGAAATAAGGATGGAACTTCATATCCATCAAAATCTGCAGACGTTCTAGTGCTACCTGTCCAGGACTGCCTATTGGCTATCAAAGGAGATGTACAAGTGAGAGCCTTGTGCTATATAAGGGCTATGTTTTCTTTACATCAGAACCTTTAAGTTTGATGGCCAATATTTACTCCAAGAACTTGGTTCTCACATGATTTGGATTTTTGTGTGTGGAGGGGGGAAGTCTAGGATGACAGAAGCCATTGCATAGGAGAAGGGCAAGGAAATCATTTCCCACTGAGAGCAATACAAGGCATTCTTCCTTGGCAATCACTCATAGCCAAGTAAGATTGTCTTCCATAAACACAGTTTTAACAGTGAGTCTGTAAGTGACTGTGGAGGTCAGTTCTGGATCCACACGTCTTTCCACAGTGGAGACATAGGTTTCCAGACGGGAGTTGATCAGGGTGAGGGTTTGCCAAGCATGCCTTCCTCTTAGCACATTTCTCCCTTTCGTCCTGAGTTCTAGCATCTTCAATGCCCATGGCATCTTTGGTAAAGGCTGTTCTCCAATTGGAGCACTCACAGACCAGTGTTTCCCAGTTGTCAGTGTTTATATCACATTTTTTTTAGATTTGCCTTGAGAGAATCTTTAAACCTCTTTTGTTGACCACCAGCATTACGCTTTCCATTTTTAAGTTTGGAATAGAGTGGTTGCTTTGGAAGACGATAATCAGGCATCCACACAACATGACCAGTCCAACGAAGTTGATGTTGAAGAATCATTGCTTCAACACTGGTGATCTTTGCTTCTTCCAGTACACTGGCATTAGTTTGCCTGTCTTCCCAAGTGATGTGTAAAAAATTTCAGATACACTGTTGATGGAATCTTTCAGGGAGTTCGAGATGATGTTTATAGGTGGTTCATGTTTCACGAGCGTACAGTAAGGTTGGTAGTACAATAGCTTTGTAAACAAGCATTTTGGTTTCCCTGCGAATGTCCCAGTCCTCAAACACTCTGCACTTCAATCAGGAGAAAGCTGCACTCACAGAACTCAGGCATTATACTCCTGCCTTCTGAACAGTGGATGCCCTGCAGAGTCCCACTCTACTTTCTGACTCTTCACCTTGAAGTTTCTACATGCTCTGAAGGCTGTAGTAAATATGCTGTTGAAATTCTTACACTGCCAAGTTCTGCACTCAGGCTGTCAGTACCACAGACACATCCTTTTTTCGTACAAATATTAATCACAATGTCAAAAGATGCAATGTCTGTCAGATCACAATGTCAGAAATAATAGCACCTGTGAACAGAAAATAATAGAAAACAAATTTTAATTAAAAAATACTACTGGGTATGTGAAATATGTGCAAAAATAATGGAAGTCAAGGGCAGTTGTTTTAGACAAAGTCTAGATACTTTTGCACACAAAACCTGTCTGCTGATTTTTACATTTCAGAAACAAATATAAGCTCTGCAACACCAACTTTTGCATCCCAAAATGATTCGTTAAGCACCATTCGGTTCCATATTGATAGAGTACTATTTTTATAAGATTGTATTTGGAAATGATGAATTCAAAGGTTGAAGGTTTCGCTATGTTTTGAATCTGCTCAAAACTTTTAAAGACTTGTATCCGACCCCACAATAAGCAAAATGTGGAAGTTTATATGATGTTTATTCACAAAGGGGTGGGGGTGGGGAAGGCAGAGCCCACTTTTACCCTCTATAACAAAATGGGTAGATCTGGCACTGGAGGAGCCTCACTATCAATCACAGAAACACATAGGGAGCTAATATAATGATGGTTGACTGGGAACAGATATGGACCACAGGTATGAAATTTACGGCATGTAATGCCTTAAGAGAAAACTTAATGAAAATGATTTATAGGTGGTACATGACACCAGTCAAGCTTGCAAAAATTTACCATTTGCCCGAAAATAAATGTTGGAAATGTAATGAGACTGAAGGTACATTCTTTCACCTTTGGTGGACATGCCCAAGGATTAAGACATTCTGGGAGATGATTTATAATGAAATGAAAAAGGTATTCAAATATACCTTTCTGAAGAAACCAGAGGCCCTTCTCCTGGGCATGGTCGGCCAATTGGTGCCAAAGAAGGATAGAACTTTTTTTATGTATGCTACAACAGCAGCAAGAATACTCATCGCGAAGTATTGGAAGACACAAGATTTACCCACCCGGGAAGAATGGCAGATGAAGTTGATGGACTATATTGAATTGGCGGAAATGACTGGCAGAATCCGAGACCAGGGAGAAGAGTCAGTGGAAGAAGATTGGAAAAAGTTTAAAGACTATTTACAGAAATATTGTAAAATTAATGAATGTTAGAAAAATGTTGGAATGAAGTTATATGGCTTCAGCAGAAATGTTATAAGGAATTAAGTATAAATAGATTAATAGAGAATTAAAGGGAAAAAAAGGTTAAAATGTGTTAAGATAATTATAGGATAGAAAGCAGAGGAAGATGGAAAGGAATTGCTGAAACAACTAATAGAAGTGGAATACAAAAAGGGAGGTGTGAGGAGGTCATGGAAATAAGTGAATGAAAGATTGAAACTATTTGATGTGTTTTAAATTGTTTTTGTTTTGTTTTCTTAGTTTTCTTAGTTTAAATAGTTTTTGTTAGTTTAGTGTTAGGTATTGTTTTTGTATTGTATTGTATTGTTTATTTTCTTTTTCTATGTAATGTCCAAATTGTTGGAAAGTAATAAATATTATTTTAAAAAAAAGAAAGAAACACATAGGGAGCACCTCCCCACCCCCCGGAAGGCTTATATCCCATTGTATCATATTCCCTGTGTCACTATGTACGTACTACGTAGCGTTCATATGAGGTTCATAAGCTTTCCTGCTTGGGAGGGGGACACACCTGGATGGTAGCTACACAGGTGCCCTCCTCCTGAATTGCTCGGTGATGAGGTCAGCAATATAGAAATCGTTTTGAAGAGATACATTGCGGAATTGTATCTTCCCCGCTTCGTAGCCCTTGTTTCCTTGTGAGATGTGTTGCCTTGCCAGTCTTGCTGCTGGGATCTCAACGCTTCTCTTCCTACTGCGACTCACTCTCTGAAGCAGGAAATTTATCTTCATAGTGAAAGCAGCTCAGCGCGTGGACTTTCTCAGACTGAGGCAGGTCATCAGGGTCCTGCCTACTGTACAAGTAATGGACAAGTAATGGCAGCAGTGTATCAGAAAGGGGATTCTGTAGCAATCTGGCTTTAATGGGAGCACATGTTCTTTCCCAGGAGTTGATTTCACGGATCGACAGGAATCTGACAACAATTATTTTTTTTGTCCATTGCTCCACACTGAATGCTGAAGAATAAAATCCTGGTTGTAATTTCTGTTATGCTTCTTCAGATAGAGGTTTTCTCTGAATTGTTGTAGGACAGAAGGGGTATGGGCCTCTTTAAATCACTCAGGCTTTTATATGCCCATACTCAACAGCTCAACTGAGAAGGATTGCAAATCCACACAGAAGTAGTAAAAGAGAGAGAGAGAGAACTCAAAACTTTAAAGTAGGTGTCAGCAACTGGAAGTCCATGGGACAAGTCCAATTTGCCTAGAAACAGAAACAGGATGGGGAGCTGAATGGAGACAGTCGTATCTGTGCCAGCAAAGCTTTCTGACTATCCATGTTAGAGGGTGAAAGTTCTGGTACAATACCTCCCTCCTCACCCCAACCCTATTCTGGAATCTGAAAAAATGAGACTCAAAAGTCTTCATATTGATTTGCATTCAGTAGTATTCAAAAATCTCCAGTGAGAATTTAGAGAATTCCATGTAAAGCAACTGCAAAATCCAAAATCCCACATAGCTACATTAATAATTTGAGAAGTGATTGGGAGGTGTGCATGTCAAACTTTGCAACATATCTATTTAAAATTTATGTTCTGAATCCCTACCCCCTTTCCCAAGGAATGGGGAGGAATCGCTCTTCCAGCACTAAACATCCTGTTGTTTCACACATGTCTTGCTACATATGGGTACTGATTAGCATGCTGTTCCCACTGGTTTGGGGAAGATTCCCCTGTTCCCTTACCCATCTCCAAGACAGGCTTCCACCACAGCCTTATGTATTAGGCATTCTCATATTTTGCACTGGATAGAGTTTGTGAGTTCCCCATTTCCCCTTGTGCAGGTAGCTTGGAGGTTGCACATTTACCTGGCATTAAGCTCCAATGAACAAATTGCTAATTTCTTCCAGGTTAATAATGTGCATAGGAACCAGGCTGCAAGAAAGATTGACAGATGAGGTTTTTTATAGCAAGCACTGTTAGGCAAATCTTCCTGACAGATTCACTGCTGCCCAGCAGGCTGGATAAAGTTTGGCCTTGTCTTCTCTTCTGGGCTTCTGGGGACTCTGCAATAAGGGAGCAGCCTCTGGACTATGATGGTTGTGACCAGAGGGAACAGCAGGAATGGGCATGTCGAAGCACAGAGGCAGCACTTGATGCGCCATGGAGGAAAGGAGAAGGAAGCTTGCTCTTCAAACTTGCAATTTTTTCCTCTCCAGGGAAACCTAGCTATAGGGAGAAAATGGGATTGGTGGATGCATATCCCAGCACATTATGTGGAATAGCTTTGAATACACAGATTGTGAGGGAAAGTTCCGAAATAACAATGAGCACGCAGTATAGAGGAAGATGGAGAAAAGTTTGGGGTTTGAGAGCATTCTGGGGAAACGACTAGAAAAGAAGGCTAACAGAGGACTAAAAACATTTTTATACTGTGTGTGAGCTCAGCTACTAGATTTTGCATTAATGCTTTTCTCCATAATCTATTGTGCAGTTAAAGCCATGGAGCAGTTTAGTTCCCCTTAATCGTGAGCTGAATTCTACAGTTATTTCTTTAGCTCTTCCCACAAAAAGGTGGCAGTGGCCATCGCTGAACCAACTCCTTTGCTACATACCTGGTACAGATTGGGGAAAGTAATATTTTTAAAACTGCCTTCTCATTGAAATTTGATATGCCCATGTCAGGGTTATTGAAGGTGACTGTTGGAATTATTTGTTTGGGGAAGATTTTAGCCGATTCTGCTATACATTGCCACATGAGCTTTGGTACTTCTTTCTCAGTTGTCTTCTCCTTTCTTTCCAACAGAAGAGCTCAGACTTCTATAAGACTCCTCCATCTTTGCTCCGGCGATTGTATGATGGCCAAGGGATTTCCTATGAGGCACTGCTCAGACTGTCAGGCAAAGAGGAAGTCAGTAAGTCCTGTTCCCCTCACCTTCCGAATAGTTACGGCAGTTTCCCATGAAACAGAAGAGTAAATTTGGCATTTAGGCAACTCAAGTCACCTTGGTTACTTGAAAAGCCTTTTTTGTAAGCTGCTTTGAGGCTTTTTCTTACAATCAAGAGGTATATAAATTTTATGAAATAAAAATAAAGTATGAAATAAAAAAATAAAAATGGGACATTTTTATGTTTTTCGTTCGAAGTACCTTCTATGAAGTCTACTTTACAATAGCAGCAAGCATTCCAGCAGAGAGCCCGACAAGCTATGCATGGAATAGAATAGATTTAGGGGTTGCCTTCACATATACGAACCATCCTCAGATTTCTGTTGTAATTATTACATTTATATCCTACCTTTCCTCCAAAGAGCTTGAGATTTTTCACCTTCCCACTACTTCAAAATGCTAATTCTTTTTTAAAATCTTCACAATGACTCTGTGTAGTAGGTTAGTCTGAGAGATAGTTACTGCCCCAAGGTCATTGAATGTGCTTAACAGCTGAATGGGGACCTGAGCTCTGCTCTCCCTCCCAGGTCCTAGTCCAACATTTGGAGGAAGGGGATATTTGCAGCGGCAGCCAGAAATGTAAATCTAAATGCAGGACGAGCCACACCTACAACAAAATGGACATTGTGTGTGAGAGTTTAATCACCCTTGGATTTGGGATGGGAAAATTTCTAGAGAGAGTTGGGAATATTTCTATTAATGCAAAATGCAAGCTGTATTTCCTGGCAGGAATAACAATAACACCTTAAGATATCAAAAGATGTAGTCAACACCTGAAAGTGTCATTCAGTGACAAAAGTTTTCAGCCCAATTATTTCAGAATATTCTGGATGACACCATCGGTCATCAGCAGTTAAATAGGCTATGCACTGGAATCCTAATGAAAACATGAACACACAAAGAAAAAAAAACATGAAATAAAGACTTAAAAGAGGTGTAGAACACCATTGCTTGTGTATTAGCATAATCTCTTAAAGCACCCAGTACATCAAGGGCCTTGATAAGTAAGCCCCCTGCTGACTATTAGAAAGCACACTGCTCCCTGGAAAGTAAGTTAAGTCCATAGATCTTCACCCAAAGTATTTAAGAGCTTAATCTTAAATTAAAAACTCACTACTTAAGTCCCAGCAGGCATCTGTTCCACCTTACAAACCAGTCATGGCCTGGAGATGTGTATTGTGCTTTGTTAGCCCAGAACCCCTGTTCTTTCTTTTTTTCAGATCCTCAGGCACTTGCCTCTTCCCAGAAACGTAAGTCAGCTCTTATTTTGCTTGCTTTGCACACCAGAAGGTCTCTGGGCTATGGCTTGATCCCTAACGATAGCTTGAAGCAGCTGTTGAAGGGTGAGGCTAAGGGCTCAACCAGACTTGCGCTTGCTCTGCCACTTCCCCCGGGAAAACCCAATCTTTACCGCTGAATCGGAGCAAACATCAGGTGTTCTCCAAATTGATGTTTGCTCCAATTTAGCACCAAAAAGTGGATTTTCTGGGGGGAAACAGCGGGGCAAAGGCTTGGACCCATGGCTAGAAAGCACAGGATGAGATTAAAAATGCTCATACTCCTACTTTCTAGGCACAGAACAAGTGGAAGTTTGGACAAGCCCTAAGGTTGCTTACAGCCACCAAGTGAATTTATGGTGGAGGAAACATTTTCATGAGAGAGTCACAGTCTAATAAGGTTTTTAAACCATGCGTAAAAAGCAGAAGAAGCTGAAATGGGGCTCTTTGCCTCATCTCCAGCCACCCATATCTTTCACTCTGGGGGGTTTCTCTCCTCTCTCTTCCCCTATGGTACTTGGCATTTATAGCATGACCAGTCCAGGCCAATGGCTTCACTGAGGCCAGGATTCCCAATGGAACTGCAGTAAGAGTGATGGAAGTAGTTCCTAGGATGACTGGCATAAGAATTAGGTAGAAGTGTGTGCAGGTGAGACTGGGGACAGCATGTAAGAATGATAGAATGAGACAGGAAGAAGAAAAGAGAGCAGTTTTCTGCTCATGATAAAAAGTGATGAGAGAGTGAAAAGAAGACTACTGACTGTTGATTAAGACTGCAATCCTATACACACTTACCCAGGAGTAAGTCCCATTTTACTCGAATAGATAGGTAAAGGATTGTTCTGTAATGCTGCAGTCCTAAACCTGGTTAGTGAGGAGTAACCTCCAATTAACTCTTTGGGCTTACCTCTGAGTAAACATGCAAAGGATTACAATTGAAAGCAATGCCCCACAGGGGGAAAAGAAGCTGTTATCTTTGCCACTGTCAGTTCCAGATGATGATGATGATGATGATGATGATATTATTATTATTATAATTATTATTATTCCTTGCCCATCTGAGTATGCTGCCACAAAATAGGCAATGGCAGGAGATATGACAAAGAAAAGATGTCTGGAATCTCTTAAGATGAATGAATGCAGATGGTTATAGGACACAAGTGAGAGATGAATGTCAGGGAACAGATGACCAAAGACGGATTTTTCTCTCATATATATACATTTACTTGGCTTTCCTGCTTCACCTGCTCGCTGTGCCCACTGCTATCATGATGCAGTCGGCATGGCCATCTATTGTCATTTACACAAACTGTTCCATGACACTTTTTTAAAACAGAAACATTATATAGTAAGAAATGAATGAGGTGTTCAGCATGATACTGATATTCCATAAGTTCCTCAACTTACAATCAGCAATATCTCCCTTTCTGAGAAGCTGGTTTAAAATGGTGGCGGCAGTGTGTTATTTACAGAAACTTATTTGTGACCATTGTACTTGTGACCACTGGAGTCATCCCTGATGATCAGAATGCAAGTATCTAATCAGAGTCTACAAGAAAGGCACCCAAACACCACCATAGTAGATTTAGAAGCCATTCATTACAATAGTGCTGTTGTTTCTTTTCTAAAATCTGAAATCCATCTGATACCTGTTGTAACCCTCTTGTTTTTCTCTGTAGGAGATATGCATGATTTCTTTGTTGGACTCATGGGGAAAAGGACCACAGAGCCTGGTAGGTGTGTAAGCCAAGAGATTTCACACTCAAACACACTCCTTGAAAATCTTGATAGGCTTCAATAGATTTCTTGGTAGATTTCTTAGTTGGAAAGTACGGTAAGGGTTCTTTCTTTCAACTTTCTAATTCTTAGGCAGGGCTGTGTGTTTGATGCAGTTCTGTGGAAACGAAGGAGGAAAAACCCAAAACACGGCATTAGTTTTAGAATGCAGTTTCATGGGAATCTGAGTTTTCATTTTAAAAAGCAATTACCTGGTGGGTTTGGTGGTTAAGGGCCAATATCCAGGGCTTAATCTTTTCAGATTGCATTAAACTAGATCATACAGCAGTGGAGAAGGTGGAACATGGTAAAGCAGCTACAGCTAAAAGGAAAGCAAAGAACAAGGGTAAGGGAGGAGGAAGGAGAAACTGTCATATTTGTAGTGGGTGATTTCTATTTCTTGTTTGGTCTGCTCTACCCCTGGACAAATGGAACTGCAGAAAAAGAATCTGGCTGTAGCTTGTTTCTTCCCTCCCCACCTTCCATAGTTGGTCCTCAGGATAAGCACACTCGTTCCTTCAGCTTTCCTCATAGAACCTTCCATCTTGATGACCACCATTTGAGGTGTAACAACAGGAGTGAGATGTGTCCCATCGCTAATGCATGTCTGAATCAATATACTCTCAGAAGAAACTCCATGTACCCATAGTGGTTATTTAGGACTGTCTGAAATGGAAATATTATTCACTCATAACTCAAGAGTTGAATGAAGAAATAAATTCTGCCATGTTAACTGATTGTAAAGGCTGGGGAACCGGGCAAGGAATCCTTTGATGTCGTTACCTTTGAGTTAGAGGGAAGATGTGGTACCCACCAAAGGGACTGAACAGAAATGGCTCTGGGAAAAACTAACTTGCTTCGTTCTCTAATTTCAGATAATCCCACAGATGTCAATAAGGGAACACTCACTGGTTTTGGTGACCTAAAGTATTCATTGAATGCAGAATGAGGTAAGGAAGAAGGGACCCAGAACTTGACTATAAGGGAGAGGGATTATTTGAAATACTGCTCCGCATGCACACACACACACACACACACATTCACCGACACATGCACAAATGCAAATGCAAGTGCACTCACAACTGCTCATACATTTTTCTTTTGTCGTTAAGTTGAAGTGTAGATTCCTGCCCCTCATCGTAGAAGAACAATATGTTGATCTCCAGGCATTTCCAGTGCAAGTCAGAGGCACATTGCAGATGCCACAAACCTGGCACCAATGCCATCTATTCAGTACAACAGGAGCAGGGGGAAAGGATATTTAAAGAGAAATGCTCATACAAGGAACAAAGCTACTTTGATAGGTTGCTGCATGTAGACCTAGAGACCATGACAAGTCCAACTTTGATGGGTTCGCAAGATTGCAATTTACAAGTGGGAAAGTTACACTAGAATTGGTTAGCCCAGTCACTTTTCTGGAAGAAAGCAATGGACAAGAAGTGGTCATGAAATTATTTTCAGAAATCTTATGACATGGTATGGCTAGTAAGAGAGAGTAAACTCATAGCTTTTTCCCCCTTGTGTCTTTAGAATGAGTTTATCCTCTTCTCTTAACTGTATCATTTCATTCATAAAATGGGTGGAATTGATCAAGGGGTGGCTTTCAGGAGGCAATCTTTCCAACTTGGTTAAGAAAATAAAAAGAGAAAGTTACATGTCCTTAAGGTAAGGGTAAAGGGACCCCTGGCCGTTAAGTCCTTATTGCAGCATAAAACTATCCTCCTTCTTCTGTTACATGAGGACTATGTTATATGCCAAAGCTGCTTTTTCAGCCATCTGGGAAAACATTAACCATCTACATCAGGCTGTGCAGCCAACTGTACTCCTTTCTTGCCATTTCTCCAATTAGCATAGTGAATGGGTATGTGACCTCCTTTTTTGTTAACTCTTCAGTTCCAATAATTTGGTGAATGACAGTAGTTATTCCATGATTATGAATTTGTGATGTAATTTCAATGCTGCTGCTGATAAGCCAATGACACTTAGACTATAGAACAATGCTTTCTCTCAGAGCCACTAACTTCCAAATGTAATTGCTATGCATTTTCAGGATACAGAAAAATCAAGCATTTTGGGAACTTCACACAGATGAATCAACACTATGCCCACTACTTTCTACTAGTTGGCTCCTCTGCTTCTGTGTGTGCCTACAAGAATTCTATATATTTAACTGAACACTGTTAGCATGTGGGTGCATGTTGTTGGTATAATGTTTGTGTATACAATACCTAAGTGATGCTGCATGTGCGAAATGGCTATATCATTGGCTTCACACTTCAGACCTTGTTCCCGCGTCACTTCAAGCACAATTGAAACAGAGTTAACAATGCAGTGGAGTCAGTTCACGAATTCAAATTCAGTAATGAGTCACTTGGTAATAAGACAGTGACTCAGCAGCACATAATTTGTCAAAACACTTTCTAGTATGAAATGCAGCTAACATTTTTTAAATTGTATTTAATAACCTGTGTCTTGCTTTTCTCTGTCTAAGGTTGAACCCAATGTAGGTAAAAGCCAAAATAATCAAATAAGACAATAAACCACAGTATTCAGCAACTACTAAAATCCATAAAATATGCAAATTTCATTGCCATTCAGAACTAGAAACAAGCATTGATGTATCTAATGATGCAACAGGTGGTGGCCTTTTTCCGTGTTCCATCCTGCCAACATTGCAGATAGCAGTGGAAGTAACAAAGGTCAATTCCAGATTGTTGCTCTTTTGTGGGTGGGATTCAATACCATACCCACACAAATGCATGTTCTACAAAGTGGATTTCTTGTGCCAGAAACCTGATTCTGAGGAAATTAGGCCTTTTGAAGTAAGGAAAGGCATGTGAAAATGCACTGGGAAGTGTGGGATAACAATTGCTTGATTTCACATTGTATGCAAACAAATAATAATAATCAGTAATGAGATTACCTGGAAGGGACTGTGTACTATGCAATCCACGAAGCAGCAGGAATCTCTCTATAAATATGTAAAAAATGGTTGCTATATTTTAAAGGATTTTTAAAATAATATAGAATAGGCAATAACCAAGTTTTTTAAAATATTTCAGATCCAAGATTAGTAAAGAATATAGTTTGCTCCCCCCTCCCCCCTCTGTCTCACTGTCTTTAATATTACATAATTAGTACTGAACTCAGATGCAATTGTGTTTTATGCATATATTTTTTTTACAGAAACCTGTACAAAAAAAATCAAATGCCCCTCTAACTCAGATTGAAATCTGAATTTTTAAATTACCCACCTAAAAGTCTTGGCTACTATTTTGGACACAGTCATTGAACCAATGCTTTGATAGTTGTCATAAATAATAACGTTTCCACACTGGGTGTGCAAATTTGGCTTGCCAAGCTGATCTCACAGTTGCACATACTTAAGGGATAAACAAAGCTGAACAAGGCGGTAGCATGGGCCTGTAGGATACAGATCAGGTGTGCTCATTATGTTCCAAAAGCAGCCATCCCCACTGGAAAACTGATACAAAACTGCTTTATCTTGAGCAAGTGCCACTGAAATTCTTGCTCAAGTAGAGAAACCGAAGTCATAGTTTTTGTTTAACAAACAAAACATTGGAAATGTGTTGTTCTGAGTGAAACACAAAAGCTCGCTGTGGGTTAAACCACAGAGCCTAGGACTTGCCAATCAGAAGGTCGGCGGTTCGAATCCCCGCAACGGGGTGAGCTCCCGTTGCTCGGTCCCTGCTCCTGCCAACCTAGCAGTTCGAAAGCACGTCAAAGTGCAAGTAGATAAATAGGTACCACTCCAGCGGGAAGGTAAACGGCGTTTCGTGCACTGCTCTGGTTGGCCAGAAGCGGCTTAGTCATGCTGGCCACATGACCCGGAAGCTGTACGCCGGCTCCCTCGGCCAATAAAGCGAGATGAGTGCTGCAACCCCAGAGTCAGCCACGACTGGACCTAACTGTCAGGGGTTCCTTTATCTTTTACTTCCTTGTACTCTAAACATTTCTTGCCTGGGCTCAAAGAACCACAAATCCTTTCCATGAAACTGAGAGAGCTTTAACATCAGCCACTCCCACCCATGTTACATGACAGCTACTTTTGAAACTGATGGACATTTCCCAAGCAGTTGGTAGTATGGGATGGGGATCAGCTGTTGAAATGGGAAAGTAAAAAAAATTACCTGTGCAACCCCCTAATTTAAGCAGCTATTTGGATTCCAGCCTGCCATTTTCTTCCATGCCCAGACCTGATTCCAAGACAGGGAACTGTGCTGAATGTTGGAACCAATTTAACTTCAGCCTTCTCTGCCCCCCTTGATCTCTCATACAGGTATCCATGTAGGAGTGTGGACAGTCACAATGTCTGCAGGACCTCAAGAAACCAACACAAAGCTGATTTCATCCACCAAAGCCCAGCACACTCTCAACCAAACCAGAACCCTTCGATGTACTATGGAGACCTCGTATTGTCCTGTGCTTCCTTGTTGCCATGTTCTTTTCCTTGATTCTGCCCTTTATTCCAGCCTTTTCCTCACTGTAACTCTCTAGTGTTCACTGTTTGGAAAGTTTGAAAGTAACCCTTCCCCATGGTGCTTTGTCCCTCTGTGTACATATTTACCTGATCTGCAGAAAACTCCTATGCCACAAGCAAAATCACCCTCACTGCCCACCCTTTTGTGGCACAGATTAAGAACACCTCAAAATCTTCTACAATTACAGGGTTTTTACTTATGACCTGCCACTGTGTGTCTCTCGTTCTTTGTTTGTTATTTAATAAAATTGTGGAGGGGATTCTGCTGTCACAAAACGAACCAACACAGTTTAAAATGGTGTAACTTACTGGCCTACAGCGCAGGTTGTTGATGAGAGTCTGGGCATAGCTCAGTCATAAAAAGCTATGATCTGTGCACATAAAGTCCCTGGCTCAATCCCCAGTATCTCTGATTGAAAACTATCTCAGGTGCGGATGGCTAGGAAACACTTCTGCCTGAAGCACTGAAACACTCAGAGAATATTATAGAATCCTGGTTAGCAGGATAGAGCCTTCCTTGGTCTCACAGCGTCAGCTAGAAATTTGTCTCTTGAGCTGCTTCTTCGTGTATTTACATTCCCCAACTCTAAGTTCCCCAGCCTCCTCAGCACCACAGTCTCTTGACTACCCCTTTCTGCCAATAACACAGCACCTCTGTTAATTATTTTTTCAAATGAGATGGACCTGGCCTCAGACCTGCTTGGAAGTTGAGCCAGATAGGTGGAATTGCTAGAATGCAGCCTCACTGAAAGTTAATTCACTGGAACTGGGCTCCGAAGTTTGAGTTAACCTCTTTCTATTCCCGGGCCTGGGTAGAGGTTTTTTCTTTTCCAAGGATGGAGAACCTGTGGCTCCAGCTCCCACCTGCCCCAGCCAGTTTAGTCAGGGATGATGGGTGTTGTGATCCAGCAGTGGAGTGGTGCAGGTTCCTCGTGCCTTCTTCAGCCATGCATAATATCAGAATCCAAAAGCCTTGATGGAGCAAACTAATATTCTATTCTAGTCCTGCATTCGGTTTCCAGCAGTGGCCAGCCACATCAGCCTTCAACATTTATCACGGAATTCATTTTAAATTACTCTACACATTTCTCCTCTGCTGTCTGTGGAGGAAATTGTCCTGTGCTAAACACCCGTGGTCAGAATTGTTACCGTACTGAGCTAGATGAACTCAGCATAAAGTGGCTTCATGCATTTGCATTGTAACAGCACAAAAGAGTGATTGAAAGCAACCGTTGCAGATTTACCATAATTGCAAAACAGCCCTTATGTTCAACATTCTACCACTGTTCATTTTACATAAAATTAACGCACACGGCAAAATTTGCATATTTAGTAGTCTACAGTATCTTATTTTGCTGTGTGATTCTATCACAATTAATAGTGTGTTCTTTTTGTTCCTCCCATTTATTTTGTTTGGCATTTTATGTAAGGTAATTCAATTAAGTATGATTCACTAATTACAATTTTATTACTGTTATTTCTTTAATGCATATCAGTATATCTCATAATATGCTGTTTTTGATTTGCCTGCCTGGGCTGTGAGGTACATCACGCTATTAGATGTATCTTTTAACTTAATTATTTCTGGAGGAGCCATGTAGGCAGTCTGTATTTAGTCTGCTCCCACCACTGCTTTGGGAAGCAGTGTACGTATGACGTTAGCTACAATCCATATCTATTCTGTATTTATCCTGTCACTTCTTATGAAAGTGATGCATTTTGATGCAATTTCCTCCAACCTAGCATCAATCCAAACTGAGAAAAACCTTGCTATGTGCATTCACTAATCTTGTCTGCTTTGGTGTGTCTTGTTCATTTGGCACAAGAAAACAGATCTGTAGTAAGGATTAAAGAGTAAGCTGAGGTGAGCAACTTGTCAATACATGGAATCTGTGGAAAGGGTTCCCCATATTATATTTGATTCCACAGTACAGAAACCTCTAAAATGTATCCATCAAATTGGGCAGGCAGCTCCTTGGCACCTGCCTCCCTATACAACAAATTCAGCAAGCACAGGACATTAAAATCTTAAATTTTTCACTTGGCTCTAGAGTCCACCCATTAGAGGTCTACATTCTCAGTGATAAGCTTACAGATGGGATGAGAACCTTGTGTTTGTGAAGTAGTAGTACTGAATGTACTATAGTCCCCTCTTGGATATATTTCCACGGAACTGTTTCTTCTCACTTCAATTTTCCATTTCCATCCCATTTAAAAAATAATATTTAAATTAAACACTTGTAAGTGAAAATGGTTCCAAGTTTCTTTCCCCCTCAACTTTTTGCATTCCCAGTGCAACTCTTCACATCAGTATTTATGCTGAAACCAACTGGCAAGGAAAATAGAAAAAGCTTGTGGCTTTGAAATAAGTCCAGATGAATGATAAAATAACCATGGATATCAAAGAACACACTGCTTATTTACAGAGTTGTTTCTCTTGTGCATCAGAAGCATCAGTTCCCATAGAAAATTCTGCATTTGTCTGCCGTGCTGTAGCACAAAAGCTATTCACTTCAGAAAAATTGACTTCAGAAAGAATAAATAATCCTATTTTGGATTAGCAACAAGGGTAATTTAACGGGGGGGGGGGGGGAATGCCTATCTGCTGTCTCCGCTATCTGAAAAGGTACATTACATCTTAAAATCCAAGAGACCTCCCTGGGAGTGATAAAAAAGGGGGGGGCACACCAAAAAACAGTATTTACACAAAACTTCATAGGAAGAAGAATTTACACAGGGTGCTGCTCCCACACTAGGAAAATAAGGTTCTCTGGATACTGACGGGAGACTGCCATCTTGTGTGCTTAACTTTATATTGCAGCTTTGTAATAACCAGAGCAAATTGTTCGGTTACATAAGAGGGTCCCAGTCAAATTAAGCGACTAGCTGCTTCAGTACAGTTTATGATCAAAGCACCTTCGGGAAGCGCTTATCATGCTACCTAAAATGAGGACTTTTACTCATCCAAGTATTTCTGAAGGAGACAGGAGTGCTCATTATGCTAAGAATTTCTAAAGTTCCCTGTTGTCAGGATTGGATGGTGGGTTGAGAGGTATTTACGGCATTTATATCCCACCCTTTTCTCCAAAGAACTCAAGGTATCATATATGGTTCTCCCCCTCATTTAATCCCCCCAGCAACCCTGTGAGATAGATTAGTCTGAGAGGCAGTGAGTGGCCCAGTGAGCTTCATAGCTGAGTGGAGATTTGAACTGTTGTAAACAAAAATTGCCCTTTTACCTTATGGGGTATCCAAGAGCCCATAAAGAGTCCTTACATAGGTTCCCCATTGGTAGGAGAGAATAACAGAGGCCAACCAGAGAATATTGAGAAGCAAAGCAGCTAGTAAGCTTGATCTTTATTGATCTGTTGCAACAGGGTGCTCCCCTCACACGCAGGAGAGAGGAGGGACAACGAAAAATGGCATGCAAGGCCTTATAAAGACTTTTGAAATTCCAATCCTGTAGATCAGGACCACCCCCAGAAACATCATACATACATCACAGAAGGGGTGTAACGTAAGACCACCCCTCAGATACATCATACCTACATCACAAAAAAGGTGGTCTAAAACAGAAAATTTGAATATTGTTTTTCTCCTGTCTGGCAGGTTACTTGATTGGATTTCCTGGGTAGCCTGGCCAGTCTTTTGTAATGATAAATACTTAGTTCCTGGGCCAGGTCACAGGCTCACACCCTATTCAAACACAGACATACCCTTAAGACAGGATTTCTGAGGAAAGAGACAATGGGAGGTTTCCTACTTTGACCTTGCAGAGAAAACATTGGCTCAGTTTAGGAATCAAAATGCTTCCAGGTTGGTCTTCCTGTGCTGATCTATGTATGTGCTTGGTTTGTACACTTATGAACATTACCATATGTCTAAGACCATAAAATTCCTATCACAGAACTCTGGTCTCCCCGGTCTAGTCCGACACTAACCACTACACCACACTGGATTTTCCAAGACAAGTTTCTCATGCACTGGCTACTTTCCTACCTTATCAGAATCAGGGGAAATGTTTCTTTTGAATCTATAGGACTATCCTACTGAGACTGCAAACTATGCCTATTTATGTAGAAAAAATATCTTTGAACTCAATGGAACTTGTTTCAGGATAGACAGACATGCATTAGGTTGAGGGCCAAAAGCAGTAGTCTTCAGTTTTAACAGACTTGTCTTGAAGTCCACTCCAAGTTTGGAACACACTTTCTGTTTCTTTCCAAGTTTGCATAGCTTTGTTTGGAATGCATGCGTAGTATGTTTGAAGTACTTTCAAAATAAATCATCAGCAGCAGCAACAATAAATGCACAACATTTCAGCAACATTCTTCGTTGTTGCTGCTAACAACAGCAAACATACATTCTAGCCAATGTGAGTTTTGAATCTGAATCATATCTATGGAAGCCAAAACCATCTCACAAAAGAGCATGTGCCACAGCTGGAAACGGAAGTTCTAGTTTCATAATTCACACTGTGTGGTGCAGTCTTTCCTTTCTATGCAGAAACACCTCTGCCCCTCAATTCACACGATTGCGGGTTCACACTGAATTTCTCCTTAACAGTGAAGCATACCTGGCAACTGTGCTTATCCAGTTTGCAGAATAGTGCTTGCTGCATATGGAAAATGTATCTTATAGCTCAGGGTTGGCCAACTCCCAAGAGACTGCAATCTACTCACAGAGTTAAGGACTGGCAGTGATCTATCCCCTTTTGAGGGGTTCAAAGTTGTTGAGCTTTTCTTAGGAAGGAAAACCCTGTTTTGGGGGGGTTTAGGTTGTTAATGGAAAAATCTGAGGGCTCCCTTGGACAAAAAAAGCAAGGACACCAGCCAGGAATACCAGAGCAAAACAGCAGCCAGTAGGCTTGGTCTTTATTGAAGACTGTCACGACAGGACTCCCACCTACCACAAGGTGGAACAAGATGGAAGCCCCAAACAAAAGAGCCCCCAAACTTTTATTAGCTGCTAATCCCCATGTTACACCCCCCCCAGACTACATCACTCATACATCACGGTTACATAATGAAAGGGGAGGTCTGGTGGCATTAATCTGAGCATCCTGGACCCTGCCCCATGGTTCTCCTTGCCCTCCACCAAACACCCATCAAGTGTAACAAAAAAGATATTTACATTTCCCTGTTTCCCAGCCAAGGTAATCGCACCCTTTTGTCTTCATCTGGGTTTGTTATTTCTGGAATGGCTACCTCTCTGGCACTCATGTATCAGGATGCCAGGGATTATCACTCAGGCAGAGGCGCTGCTGAGCAGCTGAGCTCACATGTCTATATGAATTTCTGAAGTTTTCCCAGTGAGCCAGTACATAGATACATTTATCAGTGAATTCTTACATTTGGTATTGTGCAGCAAAGGCCCTTTGAATAGGTAGGAAGAAACTGTGATGAAGTGTTTTGTGGGGACAAATCACAAAAGTCACAAAAGCGATTGTGCTGATTTTGGTAGTGGGCTGCATGTGCATCATATCTGCTGGAGGGGCAACCCCCCCCCCAACCTATACATAAATTACTGGAATAAGGTCAAAGTTGTTGAGCTTTTTTAGGTAGGTGAAAAGCCCCATTTTTTTAGGGCTGCAAGGGGCAAAAATGTTGAGCTTTCTTTAGGGGAGCCAAACTCGTTGAGCTTCTTTGGTGGGAGCCAGTCATCTACCAATCATCTACCACAAATGTGCACTGATCTACCGGTAGATCACCGTCTACCTGATGGACGAGCCTGTTATAGCTTTACAAGCGTTATTCAGTACTGTAGGGCACTTCCACTGGCAAGCACATTTTCCACTGTGCAGACACATGGCAGAGGTGAGTTGCAGCCAGTCCTGCTCCCTTGGTGCAGTTTTCACCTCCCAGAGGTCACCCACTATGTCTGCATGCTGATCTCCAACACCTTGCTTGTGTCTCTCACCTTCATATAGCAAGCCAGGCCTTTGCACCTCAAACATAGACCCTTTATACCCCTATTATGCATGCACTTGTGTCATGGCCACTTTTAATTCATTTTCTGCCTCAAGGCAGTGCAGCTAGGGTCCTCAGGCCATCTGTTTTCCAGGCACTGACAATGCCTGGACCTGGTTAGCTACATCACATTTCTTTAGATCAGGCAAGAGAAATTGTGGCCCTCCACATATTGGACTCAATCTCCCACCAGCCCCACCAATGTGGACAGTGCCAGGGATGTTGGGAGTTGGTAGCCCAACATCTGGAGAGCTACAAGTTCCACAGTCCTGCTTAGACCAAAGTCCTGGGCATTAGGCAGTGTGCTGGGATCTGTCTTAGGCAGTAGTTACTTAACTACCATTTTACATTTTTGCCACCATAGAAACTGGCGACACCACATGGACTTTTCTTTTTAATGTCACACACACACGATTTGGACCATCCTTGATTTGTCATGTGTATGCACACACACACTCTCCACACACACAAACATGTTCTGCATGGTCTACACCTACGTAAATGTAAGGTGAGAAGCAGCACATAACATCCAAGGAATGAGCTGTTTGTGTGCTTCATCCAAAATGCGCAAGTTTATGAAATACATCACTTTTTTCCAGGTGGGCAGAATGGGACAGAATCTGCAGGTGTGCATTTCGGCAAAGAGGATTTCAAACACCCCTTTCCTGTTGGGCTGGACACCAGACCTTCTCCATTTCTTCACCACCAATGGAGAGCATTGTCCTCTACTGCACAGCTAACTACTCCCTTGTTCCCCAGGCATAATCTGACAACCAAACAAACACCTTTCAATCTTCAACAACCACATTACGCCACCTTGAGCTCCAGGAAAGCGGCAACTTGCAAGGCAGGATATACGGTACATGTAAAAAGAAAAAAGGAAGAAGAAAAGTTTTTAAACATCCAGCAACTGGGGTTCAATTATCTGTGCTAGGGCTTCGGCAGCACAGCTCCCGTTCCCATGCCAGGGCTCAAGCTGGAACCCAATTTTTTATTTATATTTATTAAATTTCCACCCCCATCTGAAGAAACTAGGGTGATTCACAACAGAAAAACACAAAATGAGAATACATTAACTAATTACTGGTTGGCATCCATCAGACGTGGGAGACAATGGGCCTTTGGGGGGGGGGTGAAGTCAAACTGTTGGAAGGTTGCAGTGCCTTCTGTGGCTGTAGTGTTCAATACGGGAGAGACATGTTTTGTTGCAGCTGGGGCAGGTGAAGGTGTCTGGTTGTGCTGCTGTAGATGCACCATGACATTTCTTCTCTGTGTGTTCCCCCTCCCAGAGGCCGTTCCTCCTTTGGTCCCTGGTAGGGATGCACGACCTGTCTCCAGGCACTGTGGTCATCTGCAAGGGATTCCCACACAGCAGGGCTGATATTGCTAGTCTCACATTTGCAGACATCTTTGTAATGCAGAAACCGGCCTGTAGAGCATATCCTTGGGGAGCCTGCCATCTTCCATCCTGTGGACACGACGGAGCCAGTGTAGACACAAGTGTGAACATGCTTGGGTGGGGACGTCAATATAGCTCCTTGCCAAAGGCACAAGGGAGCCTAGCTACTCCTCTGAACAGCCAACTCCTAGGGGTTGAGGTCCCTTCACCCCCCACTGCCAAATAAAATATTGTTCCCCCCAGTTGATGGGCATTTCCATTCCAATGCTCTGTGTGTGTGTGTGTGCTTGTGACACATCTTGGGATCGATTGTGCAGGGTGGGGCTTATCTGGGCTCCCCAAAAATTTCATTCAGGTTGGAACCCCACCTCTGAATAAAATAAAACCAAAGCAAATCAATAACCCTCTCCAGGGCTGGATTTAGGTTTGATGAGGCCCTAAGCTACTGAAGGTAATGGGGGCCTTTATATCTCCAGCTGTCCTTTGTCAACAACAAATTGTTGCTGTTTTTTGTGTTGAATATATGCTATATGGTAATTTATGGGTCTAATAGGTCTCTAAAGCCATTTGCACATAACAAAATATGTACAGTGGTACCTCGGGTTAAGTACTTAATTCGTTCTGGAGGTCCGTTCTTAACCTGAAACTGTTCTTAACCTGAAGCACCACTTTAGCTAATGGGGCCTCCTGCTGCTGCCGCGCCGCAGGAGCACGATTTCTGTTCTCATCCTGAAGCAAAGTTCTTAACCTGAAGCATTATTTCTGGGTTAGTGGAGTCTGTAACCTGAAGCATATGCAACCTGAGGTACCACTGTATTTTATCAAAGTAACTGTTGAACTGAAATACAATTAAGAAGAAGTATATTAATAGTGAATTTTTTTGGGGGGCCCTAAGCTATAGCTTGTTTAGCTTAGACGTAAATTCGGCACTGACCCTCTCCCACAAACCATATAATGTTAATCAACCCAAGAAGCTGGGGTACAGGCAAAAGTGCCCCTGAGCGGGCGCAGAGTGCGTCGTCCCCCCCCCCCCCCACATCAGGAAGGGGAATGCCGGCCTTGAAGAGGCTGGGTCACGGGCCTGCTTTTGGTTTTACCTCCCCCCCCCCCCGCCATTCCCTCAGCCCCCCGCGACCCCTCCGCTCGCTCCTCAGCCGGGCGGATCCCCTCTCCCCTCCGCCGCCGCCGCCCGCCTCATCTCCCCGCGCTTATCCCCTGCAGCCGGGGCTGCTGCAGTGCCCCCTCCGGGGCTGGGGGCGGCGCTGGGCCCAGCCGTCTCGGGGCCGGATGGAGCCTCTTGGCCGGGGCCGGAGCAGCGCCTCCTCGGCGAGGCCGGGCGGGCGGGCTGGCTGGCGGGGTGGGCAGGGAGGCCGGGCCGGGGGAGCCGGAGCCCTTTGTGTAGGTGCGAGAGAGCCGCGGGGATGGTGCCCGCCGCCGCCGCCTCCCGGGTAAGGGGCCGCCTCCCCGGAGCAGAGCAGCTCCTTTCCCTCAGGCGCCGCTCGCCTCGCACTTCCCGCCCCGCTCGCCCCTTTCTCCGCTCCCCATTCCGGGACGAGAGGAGCCCCTTCTCCTTCTTCGCCCGGCTTCCCTCGCCCCCCACGGGGCTTGCTCTGCCTCGTCTCCCTCCTTGCCCTCCATCCCACACTCGCCCGCACTTTCCCCCCCTTTCCAGTCCAAACTTCTTTTCCCTCCCACTTTGGGCCGGTCTCCTCTCCCCCCAACTCCACCTCTGGGTCTCACCTGCCCCCCAGGCCCGTTTCTCCTCCCCACTTGCCAAACGAGAGATACCCTCCCCTCCCCATCATTCCAGTTTTAACCTTACTTCCACATCTCCTGGACTTACCAAAAAGAGAAAGAAATCGTGTTCACGACCCTGACAGAACCTTGCGCCTCAAAACCTATTTCCACTTGCATCTCTTTTTTTTGCAGTGATGATGTCCATCGTCGTCATCATTCACTTTGGTTACGAAGTGATCCCCGTCACCTCGTCTTGTTGCATGAAGAAGGGGCATAGAGCCGTCTTCTGCCTTAGTGAACGGCTATTCAGTGTTCTTCCATCCTGCTGGGATGCAGAGTTGAGTTTCGTTTTCATGGTGGGCATAAGGGGCCCAGAGTGCTTGAAATTGCGCTAAGATAGCATCCCTGCCTGTTTGCTTAATGCACAGAACCTTAGGAAAGAACACAAGGGAGTTTTAACATGAGTTTTGCACTGCACATTTTATTGTGTTGGTCAGCTGGGTTAAAAGTTAAAACCCACCTGGAGGCTCATAAACAAAGAGACAACAGGTTGTGTCTGGAAGGAAATGTGCAGAGGGGAGTTTAAATTTCTAGTCTTTTGGCCTTCTGCCAACCAAGTTTTAAAACTTCCAGTCCAGTTGTTAAAAGGGGTTAGTAGAACTTATTTTCACAGTAAATGTGTGTCTTTAAAAAGGAGGTTTTCTGAATGTGTGACAAACACTAAAAGGAAAAAAAATAAACATAGACAGGAATAGCAGTTTCGAACTGAAAGGGAACGGTGTGAACTGGCAATCACACTCCCCCCGCCCCCAACTTGGAGAATTACTGTTATATCTCTGATGGAAAGATAGCTGGTGAACTGGTCCCAGAACTGTGTATAAGTAGACGTGGGAAATGGTATGGAAGTGTGTAATGTTACGTTACACAGAGTGATACTACATCCTGACATTCTAATTTGTAGTATATGCACCACGCTCTTTCCCACCTCACACCCTCAGAGCATTTTGTCAAAAGCAGCTATGTTTCCTTGTAATAGAAATAATAAATGTATGGCGTTTTCTTTTTTTATTAAAATCATCTTTACTCCACCTTTCCCTTTACAGAATGTCCAAGGTGGCATACTAATAGTTTAGGTTTATTATATTTTGGGCTTCATTCAAAACCAGTAAGAACAGAAACTAACTTTGCATTTTCTCCTCTCTAGAGGACCTTGCCAGGTGAGCTTCAGAGCCTGGAAGCCGCCTTCTGGTGCAGCTGAGGAACGGACAGGAGTAAACAAGAAGTGAGCAGGAGAAGGAGGTTTTCGGCAGCTGTCAAGATGGGCATGAGGATCAAGCTGCACAGCACTGACCACCCCAACAACCTGTTGAGGGAACTTAACAAATGCCGGTTGTCAGAGACTATGTGTGATGTTACCATTGTGGTGGGCAGTCGTACCTTCCCTGCACACAAAGCAGTTCTGGCGTGTGCAGCAGGCTACTTCCAGAACCTTTTCCTCAGTACAGGTCTGGATGTGACCCGCACCTACGTGGTGGATTTCATTACTCCAGCCAACTTTGAAAAGATTCTGAACTTTGTCTATACCTCAGAGCTCTTTACAGACCTGATCAATGTGGGTGTCATTTACGAGGTTGCTGAAAAATTGGGCATGGATGATTTGCTGAAGGCTTGCCATTCCACGTTCCCAGACTTGGAAAACTCAGCCAACACGAAACAACCTTCTGTCTCAGGTGAAAGCCGGCCAACTGGCATGTCTACTGAGCCGAACCATGCCCTGGGTGAAATCCGAAACAGCGGGGAGCACCCGGGACCAGAGCGGAGTTGCAGTATGCAGAGTGAAGCACCAGGTGGCTACAAAGAAGATTCTGCAAATGAAGGCAGCCATAACTTAATGCACCAGCAGACTCCCAAAACCGAAGAACAGGAATCACCAGCACAGTTCACTGGTGCCATGAGCATTATGACACAGGCTGGTCTCAGCAATGTCAGCATGGCTGTTCAAACCACTGTCAACTCATGTCATCCATATAAACTCCAGAACAACGGGGATTACAACAAAGGCAATTTTTTTGCTTCGGATGCATCATTGGATATATCAACAGGCAGCAACTCCTGCCCTAGCAATAGTGATCACTCCAAAGACCAGGGCTTTGGGCAGATGGATGAGCTGCAGCTAGAAGATCTAGGGGAGGATGAACTACATTTTGAAGATCCCAGCGAGGAGCTAGGTGCTGCAGAGGAAGTTATTGAGCTGAGCGATGACAGTGAAGAGGAGCTATCCTTTGAGAATGACAACCGTGATAACAAGGCCATGCCCTGTCAAGTGTGCAAAAAGGTTTTGGAGCCCAACATACAGCTGATCCGCCAACATGCCAGAGACCATGTGGACCTCCTGACTGGCAACTGCAAAGTCTGCGAGACCCATTTCCAAGACAGGAACTCCAGAGTCACTCACGTCCTGTCTCACATTGGGATATTCCTTTTCTCCTGTGATATGTGTGAGACTAAATTTTTCACCCAGTGGCAGCTCAGCCTTCACCGCCGCGAAGGGGTGTTTGACAACAACATTATCATCCATCCTAGTGACCCGCTTATAGGGAAGGTCAACTTGTTCAGTGGGGATTTAGCATGTGCCACCTGTGGGAAACTCCTCGCCAAGGATTTTCATATGGTTCGGGGCCACATCTTGGACCATGTTAACTTGAAAAGCCAAACATGTGGCGTGTGTGACCAGCGGCACCTCAATCTCTGCAGCTTGATGTGGCACACCCTTTCCCACTTGGGCATTTCTGTTTTTTCTTGCTCCGTTTGTGCCAACAGTTTTGTGGACAGGCACCTCCTGGAGAAGCACATGGCAGTCCACCAAAGCATGGAGGAAGCCCTCTTTCGGTGTCACTACTGTGGCCAAGCTTTTAAGCTGGAAGCTGCTTACCGCTACCATGTGAGCCAGCACAAGTGCAGCTCTGGCTTGGACCTTGTCCGGCCCAGTTTTGGCGACCGACTCCACCAGCAAGCTCTGCAGAAGAGGAAGCTGACAGAGGAGTTCCTAAGTGAGGATGTGGCTCTTCAGAGCCAACCTGGAAACAGTAAGTACAGCTGCAAGGTGTGCGGAAAGAGATTTGCCCACACAAGCGAATTCAATTACCACCGGCGGATCCACACAGGGGAGAAGCCATATCAGTGCAAAGTGTGCCACAAGTTCTTCCGTGGGCGTTCCACCATCAAGTGCCACCTGAAGACACACTCTGGGGCTCTCATGTACCGGTGCACGGTTTGTGGGCACTACAGCTCTACCCTTAACCTTATGAGCAAGCATATAGGTGTGCACAAAGGCAGCCTTCCACCTGACTTCACCATTGAACAAACTTTCATGTACATCATCCATTCCAAAGATACGGAGAAAAATACAGACAGCTAATGTAGCAGTATTTGCGGAGTAAGCACTACTTGCAGGTAGCAAAGAAGCTTGTTTCTGTTTTTAAAAAACAACGTTACATTTTAATGGTCAGGCATCATCAGCATTGTACTTTACTTCCCTTTGCCTTGTTAGAGGGTTTCTTAAATCGTCGTTCTGTGAAAACAACAGCACGTTACATGTGTTACTGTTCTTGAGAAACCTGTCTGTTTACCTCCTGCTGAGTCCAGGGCTCATTATTTCAAGTCTTAGAAACAGGCTGTGCCTCCCCCTCAACGGATAGGTTTCACACCTCATATCTCTCCTCCCTCCATCTCTAATTTGAGATCTTGAAAAGATTTATGCTGCTAAGATATATTAATGCTACACATCAGCAGGGATAGCAGGAGAGAAAGTGGGGGGCGGGTAAAAGGAATTATTTATGTGCTGCTATTGGGAGGGTAGAAGTTCTATAAAAACTTACAATGCAGTCCCCAGCACGCTTACTCAGAGGTAAGTCCACCTTTGTTTAATGGTGACTTGCTCTCTGCCTTGTAAGTGTGCTTTGCATTCTTAGCCTTAGCTTCGTGTCAGTAAGTTTGTATTTCCCTCCCACCAGGATTGCCATATATATGGCCAGTTCTTCTTCCTGTGCCTTTAACAACCATGTGATCTGCAGACATGGTTGTTAGGGCTCATTTCCATGTCACTTGCTGATTTCTGTAGGTAAAAACTGCCAGAAAAAGCCACAGTAGCAGGTTAGTTCGCACCCAGCCTTTGCCTTTTGCCCTTTTCCATGAAACTATGAGTTGGTTTTACAAAGTTCCACTTTAACAAAATCAAAAGAGGGCATAAAAATGGTGTGGTGGAATGGAGGAGAGTTTTGCCAAATGTGAACATTCTGGATTTTTTTTTTTTTTTTGAAGGGGTGCCCTAGAAAGGACTCTTAGCTTTTGAGTATAAGCATATAGAGGCTTTAGCAATAGTGTTTTATCTCCAACATCCACTTTCAAAAAAGAAGTGTTCTTAGGGCATCATAAAACAGCTTTGGGGCTCCTTCCTTTCCTCCAGCAATATTAACTCAGTGCTGGTGTCTTGAACATTGAGATGAATGTCTCAGGGGTCACATTCTTGAAAGTCTTTGACATAGCTCTGTGGACAGTGCCAGGGTTTTAGGTTGCAGTTCTATACACAGCTGGGAATAAGTCTCATTGATCTCAGCGGGGCTTACTTCAGCCTCGTTATGTGTATTATTGCACTGTTAGTTCTGTTTGAAAATATATTGTTGCCTTAAGGAAGTGTCTCTGGAAGGAGGAATGACAGGTTTAGGGCAGATTATTATCTCTCTTTTTTGAAGGGGGGGTTGCATATTAAATATTCAGCTCTTAATCATTTGTTTGGAGGGATTCATAGATCTTTTCAAAGTAGCACTTTTGTTGCAGGGGTATCCTATTTTCCAGCACACAAACCATAGCATTTTGTTGCAAGGGGAAAAGCAATCACTCTCTCTCCTCACCCACCCCACCTTCTAGCACATCAACTCTGACTGTGCCATGTACAATGTGGTTGTGTTGGTGTCACAGGTGCTCTTGGAATGAAGAGATGCAATTTTTCTGCAGCAGTGAGGCCAGTTTGAATGTGCCTTTACCACTCAGTACAAATAGACATTTTCTCCAGGATTATGCTCTGACCAAAAAACAAACCCAAACAAATTTATCCAAAACACCCAGTTCTTCAAGTTTGCAGCAAAAGCCGGCTGTGGATGGCATCAATTTCCTAATACCCATTACATCACCAAGAAGCATGTACCCAAATCCCTACAGTTTTTAAAATAGGCTCATTTTAGAAGGTGCAGGATGAACAAAGAATGAGTAAGCATACAAGTGATGCTTTATAAAGAGGTGGGCACCCCCTCTGAAGTATGGGAAGAAGGACAAGTCTAGTGGTCAATCCAGCATTTGACTTGATAGGATGTGTGTTTGTCATACAGATTATTTAAACTGGAAGGATAAAGAATTTGCAACAAAGGGTCATTCTTAAATTATATGTTTCTTCATCCTTGGGCAGCATGACATCACAAACATGGAGCAACATTAATTCCCCCTATCTCCATTGCAGAGCAATTATATAAACTTTTAAAAGGTTTTATTCTCATTAATATTTGTAAAGTCTTTAGAGTTTGAGTGCTCTCGTGCTGGAATGCGTATTTAGCCCATCATCAAGAAGTAGTGGAAAACACCATCAATTGATTATTTGTTTTTAAGTTCTTTAAGGGCTGTGCACTTTCCCCCTCCAGCCTGGAACACACTTCTCTTCTTCTTTTTAATTTTTACACTATAGCAAGGTATCCCCCCCCTTTATTACAGTGGTACTGGATTTGTGGTAACATATGGGGTTTTTGTCATCTGAAATGCCTCTGGGTGTTTGTCCCTTGTGGCAATGAAAAACCAGTGTGTGCTTGTGTAATTGACAATAACAATTATGCTGTCTTTTGAAGTGAGGTTGTAACCTACCTTCCTTTTCCTTTTCCTTTTCCTATTCCTTTTCCTTTTCCTGCAACCCTGACAGGTGCTTTCTGGAGGGATGCAACAGAACAGATTGATCACAGGGCACAGATCCAGACTCAGTTTGAACTACACTTGTGGCTTTATCCTATAGGTTGTACTTTATGCTTTCTAAGTGCAGTACTATGTGAAATCCAGGCAGGCGGGTGGATGAGAGAAACGTACGTTAACAAATGTAGCAGCTGGCTTGAGATCTGCCCCTAAGTTTAATGCAAACTACCTCATAGGGAGGAAGTCCTGGAGTCTTAAAAACCAGTGGTATGTACAAATAGGCTTCCAGGCTTCTGTATATGAAAACACTGTTGTTAAAGAAAAACAGAAATCCACATAATGCTGCTCTAGCCCTGACCCATGGCTCTGACAGTAATTCCAGTAGGGCAGCCTTGGGCAGGTTGCTTTGCTCTCTGCTTACAGTACCTACCTCTAAGGGTGTTGTGAAGATTGACTGCTTTGATTTTTGTCAAGGAAAAAAAGCACTTAGGTATGTCTTCTCGTTTTCTTATAAGAATGTTGCTGTCTTAAAATAGCCCCCAGCATGCAAGAAAGTGTTCTGACATATCTCTCAATTCCTTTCCTCCTTGTGACCTCTGAATAGCAAACACCAAACAGGACACACTAAGGAATTAACTCAACAATATAGCGGACAAGACTATTCCTAAGTTTAAGTAATGCTGGAAGCATTCAGTGTAAGGATGTAAGAGTTGTCAGAGGAATTTACTACTTCTAGTAGTACCACTAGTACTTAGTTAATGTCAGGGCCACATGTCTAGACCCACAGGGCTTGAGAAAGGAACTGAAGCCTAAGAAAGCCCAAGGTCCAGCTGTGGACTAATGGCAGACGGACAGTATTTTATTATTTATACGAGCCCTGGCCAGTCAAAAAGCTTCATACTATCCTTCAACTGGAGGGGCTGATGTTACACACTCTTATTGCTTCTCTATGCCTGAAGAGGGCTGAGCCCATAAAGTAGCACACCAGGCTCAGCCCCAGTCTTGGTTTCTGAAGCTCTTGGTTCAAGTTCTGGAGTCCAAGACAATAATGGATGTACTCCCCAGGTGTTGAACAGAACCATGTTTTCGTAGTTAAGATGCCTTCATTGGAAGTGATGGAGAAGGAGCTATATTGGATCTCACCCAGTAAGGACTTATTCTCGACTTCTAGAATCATAGAATCATAGAATCATAGAGTTGGAAGAGACCACAAGGGCCATCGAGTCCAACCCCCTGCCAAGCAGGAAACACCATCAGAGCACTCCTGACATATGGTTGTCAAGCCTCTGCTTAAAGACCTCCAAAGAAGGAGACTCCACCACACTCCTTGGCAGCAAATTCCACTGTCAAACAGCTCTTACTGTCAGGAAGTTCTTCCTAATGTTTAGGTGGAATCTGCTTTCTTGTAGTTTGGATCCATTGCTCCGTGTCCGCTTCTCTGGAGCAGCAGAAAACAACCTTTCTCCCTCCTCTATGTGACATCCTTTTATATATTTGAACATGGCTATCCTATCACCCCTTAACCTCCTCTTCTCCAGGCTAAACGTGCCCAGCTCCCTTAGCCGTTCCTCATAAGGCATCGTTTCCAGGCCTTTGACCATTTTGGTTGCCCTCCTCTGGACATGTTCCAGTTTGTCAGTGTCCTTCTTGAACTGTGGTGCCCAGAACTGGACACAGTACTCCAGGTGAGGTCTGACCAGAGCAGAATACAGTGGCACTCTTACTTCCCTTGATCTAGATGCTATACTCCTATTGATGCAGCCCAGAGCTGTTTTCTAGAGCTGTTTTAGTCTAGTTCTCCAGTGCCAAACTGCATCCAATGCAAACTTGGCCAGCTTTAGAAATTCCATTTTTAAAAAAAAAGCATTCTGCCATGACAAAGATATGAATCATTGTGCTTGGTAGTGTAGCTTGGCCCAAGTAACTTCACCTGTCTGCCTCAAACACCCACACATCAACTCACCCCAAATTGTGAGTGAGGAATATTTAAAAATACCTACCTCACAAATGGAAAAGTTGTGAGGTGTAGTAAATGTCTGTAAAGTGCTTTGGAATCCTTAGGCGTGTAGAAAGACAAAGTATTGTAATTAAATAGCTTTGCTCTGTTTGCTATGCTACCATTTGTGAAGAATCCCTACCATTGCCACCACAGTAGGGGAGGGTTCAGGCATGGAACAGGTGTTCCAGTCTAACACAGAAAGCTTTGAAAATAATAAACAACAATGTTTTTGGAGACTAATGCTTTATTATTGCTCTTATTTTTGTGAACTCAAAACCATGCCCTCTCCCTTTTCCTCCAAAGATCCAGATGTCTTGAAATAAAAAAAAACAAAGCAGAGCATTGTGATTGCTGTCTAACCTTTTGGTTAAGTTAATTGTAGGTACTGACCTGGTTATTTAAGTGTTTAATATCTATTTGCTGTAAAGTTTGTACATTTTGTAAAACTTTTCTTCCTCAAAGAAAAAAAGTAGATGTCTAAAATCGTTGTACATCGGATTCTTTTATACTCCATCATTTGGCACAAAAGTGTGGTTTTTATTTAGAATAATAAAATGAAAAACTTGAGAGTGTGGTGCATTGCTCATAGTTTGTGGTTGACACGCTATGGAAATATTATCAGATCAAATGATAACAGAGGCTGCTCACCTGAGTCTTCTGCCTATGCCAAAGGACTTTGCTCTGGGATACTGGTACTCCTGACTTCTGTAAATTCCTTGCACAAGGAGAGGCTGTTTTGCATGCAGAAGGTTCCAAGTTCAGTCCTGAGCATCCCTAAGTAGGCCTGCAAGAGACCTCTGCCTGCAACCCTGAAGAGCTGCTTCCAGTCAGTGTAGGCAGTACTGAGCTAGGTGGACAAATAGTCTGTCTCTGTATAGGGCAGCTTCCTTTGTTTCTATATTCATACATACAGACTTGTAACTTACCGTATTTTTCGTCCCATAGGACGCACCGGCCTATAGGACGCACCTAGTTTTTTGGGGGGGAAATAAAGGAAAACATTTTTTCCTTTATTTCCCCCCCAAAACCAGGTCGGGGAATCCAAACCAGGTCGGGGAACAGCGGGATGGCGGCGCTGCGCCACCCCGCTGTCCCCCGAGCTTGTGGGGCTGCCCGATGTCTGCCCGAAGCGTGGGGCACTCTTCTTCAGCGCTCCCCGTGCTCCGTGCAGCAGGCTGCTATCTGCAGCCTAGGGAGCCCTGCGGGAACTCCCGCAGGGCTCCCCAGGCTTGCAGATAGCTTCCTGAAGCCTGGAGAGCGAGAGGGGTCGGTGCGCACTGACCCCTCTTGCTCTCCAAGCTTCAGCGAAAGCCTGCATTTGCCCCGTAGGACGCACACAGATTTCCCCTTCATTTTGGGAGGGGAAAAAGTGCGCCCTATAGGGTGAAAAATACGGTATATTTTTGCCAGTATTGGGGAAAATGTTTGGGTCTTTCTACCCCCTGCAAAGGAACCAATGTGTTGGGTCATTTCTGATCAAATTGGGTTGGAATTAATTTTTCCTGCCTCGGCCTGAAAAACCTTTGTCAGGGCTGTTCATTCCCTTTTAGATAACATTCGAATGCAAAAGTCAACTCAATGTGTTATAAACATCCTGCTTCCTTGTCTTCCTTCCCTAAACTTTATCCAAGTATTTTTTTTAATCCAGATGTTCACTTATGTCCTTCAGCCCTTGTATAAGAGTGCTATTTTTAAGTGATTTGTTATCTTCTAGCATTTGTAGTAACCTCCTCTTTTACCTTCTGTTCATATTGTTCTGAGATTATACTTGGCCTGGATCTGTGCCCCCATCACAATTCTTGTAATAAAGGCCAAAATGGCATTACATAGGAAATGCTGAGAACATTTTGCTCAGCGCTTCCTCACATGTCTGACCTTGACCTCTAGGAACATGTGCCTTCCTATAACCACTTAACTCTCACTTTAGAACGAGGGACCTCCAGATCACATACCCATTTACCCCATATTTATGTGGCAGATTCCATGATAATATTGGCTAAAAATTAGGCAAAGCTAAGTCACCAGCAAACTAAAAAGCTCAATTTGATAGAGTCTATACCAGGGGTGGGGAACCTTTGGGCTTCCAGATGTTGGTCTCCCATCAGCTCCCATCAGCTCCAGCCAACATCATCAATGGCCCGGGCTGATGGGAGCTATGGTTAGGAAATCTGGAGGGCCAAGGCCTATTCACATTATTATTTGAACATTTTGGCAGCCAGGCATCCCAACTCCACTAAATCCCACCTCCATATGTTGGCACTCACTCCATGGTTGTGTAATCTCATCACATGCAAGGATCCAGTTTTTTTCATGCCTTTGCAAATACGTTTTTTGAGCTAATGATACCATGCTAAAATCTGAGTCCTTGGTTTTGTGAACAGTCCCTCAGATCCTCAACTTCCATTTTTTAAAGCTTTATTAGGCACCACTGGGCTGGAACCCTGTGAATAGGGTTAGCAGAAGCTTCTTGATTCAGTGACCGGAACTGCAGTGCTCCTGGTTAACTCAGGAACTGAATCACCACGTTTTCTGACTCTACCAGAATGGACAACGGAGTTTACCCCAAGCCAAAACTTCAAGGTGGGAGTGCATTCCCTTGGGAGATAAATCCCAGGAACCAGCATTCCCTCAGGAGAGGTCCGTAGCCCCAGCATTGCCTTCCCTTCTCCAACCTCAGGCTGGCATCCCTGGGTGTAAATGTCTCTGTGGTGACATAAATAAAAGGCTGCCTGCGCACAAACTGCTAGAAGGGAGTTGTTGGTATCCTGGTTCCTCAGCCACAAAAAGTAACTAGTTGGATGCACATAAAAGGACCTTGGCAGTCCCTGTCTCACCCTTGCAGGGGCAGAATTACAGTCTTTGTGCCATCTATTTAATGATCAAGACACCCTCATGTTTTTAGAATGTAATTTTCACTCAAAACTCTCCACAAATAAGAGGAAATGGACAGAAATCTCTATCTTCCAAATAATCATAAAATTACAGGGTAGCAGAAATCAGAACATTTATTTCCATAGTTATTTTTTTGAGGTGGGGGATTGGATGAGAGTTACTAGAAAACACAGGGCACAGCAGCATATAATCACCACATTTCACCCTATATGGCCCTGCTTTCCCAAGATTTCAAGAAGCACTGATGTGTATGCAGAGAGGTTCTTACTGAAGACTGCCCTTTGCTAGTGAGAGAATGTCTGAATACACAGGATCGTGTTGTGGAACCACAGCAATAAACCAAATCAAGCACACTTTTAATTTGGCAAGGTGTTCTCTTTTGCTATGACAATGGAATGTTGGGTGTTAGAAGAGGAACCCTCGCCCCCCTTTCGATCCATTTGGTCTTTGGGGATGTACCTGACCACAGCAGAGATGAGCTTCCCTTTGAAGTTCTTGCTCAGGAAGTTGTACAGGATGGGGTTGACCACGCAATGGAGAAGGGTGAAGCAGTCTATGATATCGTAGAAGAAGTAGAGGAAGTCCAAAAAGTGGCAGTGGAGGAAGATGCTGGTACCTTCGAGCGTCAGCAAAAGCAAAACCAGGTGGAACGGCAGCCAGCTCACTAGGAAGACGGCAATGTAGGCGTAGATGACGCGGCAGTGCTTCCTGCTCTCAGGCTTGTTGCTGCGCTTGATGTGCCTCGCTGTCAGTATGTTGAAGACTGCCATGATGAAGAAGGGAATGAGGAACCCAATGAAGGCAGTGAGCAGGGTGAGAGTAATGGCCCAGATGTCGTAGGTCTCCAGGGGGGCCATGAAGAAACATACTGGCTCAGTGCTGTCAATTAACTCCATGTGGGACACCTCTGGCAAAGGGACGATGGCAGCCAAGGCCCATATGCAGCAGCAAGCAATGCGTCGCACCAGGTGCTGGTGTCGGTGCCAGAAGTGGGAGGAGGTTGTCAAGGACACATAGCGGTCAACGCTCAGGCAGGTGAGAAAGAAGATGCTGCTGAACATGTTGGCAAAGTAAAAGTAGTGGGTGAAGTGGCAGAGGAAGCTCCCCCAGAGCCAGGTATAGTCAAGCATGGCTTGCAGCATCCAGACCGGTAAGGAGAGGATCACTCCCAAGTCTGCAATGGCCATGTTGAAGATGTAGAGGTTGACCAGGTTCTTGTGGCTTCGGGTCTGCCAATTTACCCAGATCACCAGAAGGTTCTCCACCAGCCCCACCACAAAGATGATGAGGTAGAGGACAAAGAGGAACACCCGCTTCACGCTCTCATCCAGCCCCAATCTGCAGTAGCTGAAGGTGTAGTTGAGCAGGTGGGCAAGCTCTGTCAAGTTGTGGTACTCTCCGTATTCATTAAAAGGCAAGAGGTGGTCGGGCTCTCCCATTTTGGGTCAAAAAGTTAACTGTAAGAAGAAATGGTGGAGAGACTTCAGTACTAGTAGATCTGGGCTGATTATTCCACTGAAACAAATTAAGGAGGAGTAATCGATACCGGAAAGTGTGATATGCATTGCTCATTAGCACAGTTGTAACCCTTTGCTATGAATCCACATCAATTATAAGAGGTTTTGTGTGTGTATGTGTATAGGCTCTGAATTATTAAAAGAACGGGTTGCTGTTTTTTTCTATCCATGTGAGTCACTAAGATTCCTAACTGATTTGGGATTTTAAAGGTTTACTTATTTAGATAAGAAGAATGTCTAGTCCAATATTCCTTTTCCTATCATGTAAAGGGACGTGGGTGGTGCTGTGGGTTAAACCACAGAGCCTAGGACTTGCTGATCAGAAGGTCGGCGGTTTGAATCCCCGCGATGGGGTGAGCTCCCGTTGCTTGGTCCCTGCTCCTGCCAACCTAGCAGTTTGAAAGCACGTCAAAGTGCAAATAGATAAATAGGTACCGCTCTGGCAGGAAGGTAAATGGTGTTTCCGTGTGCTGCTCTGGTTCGCCAGAAGCGGCTTATTCATACTGGCCACATGACCCGGAAGCTGTACGCCGGCTCCCTCGGCCAATAAAGCGAGATGAGCGCCGCAACCCCAGAGTCGGTCACGACTGGACCTAATGGTCAGGGGTCCCTTTACCTTTACCTATCATGGGAAACCATATACCCATGGGAATCCTGCAAGATTGGCATGAATGCAATAGTCCTAATCACACTCATGTACCCCATTCACTGCCTTTGATACCTGAAATGGGAGGCCTTCAGTGAGATGGGTAGATAATGACAGCCTTATCCTCCATGAATTTATCTTAACCACCTTAAAAAACCATCCAAGTTGATGGCCATTATCACAACTGGTGCTGGCCAATTCCATAGTTTTAACGTGTGTGTGTGTGTGTGTGATATTTTAATGTAGTTCTATGTATTTTAATCAAAGGCAACTGTATTTTCATAATTGGTTTTATTCTTGTTATTTTGCCATTGTTTTTTAGTTGCTTGTGACTCTTCTCGAAATGAAAGGTGGTATATAAATTCTTTTTAATAACTACGATGACTACAACTGTGCACTGTGTGAAGAACTCTTTTTCCCTGTCCTGAATCTACAACCCTTCAGCTTCATTAGTTCTAATATGTGAGAGGGAGAAGAACGTCTCTTGATTCACTTTCTCTGCACTATGCATAATTTTATATGCCCCTTGCCTGTCTTTCTTTAGCTGCCTTTCCCCTGTAAGTTAAAGATGCCCAAACATTGTAAGCTTTGCTCACATGGGACTTGCTCGAGCCCTTTCATTATTTTGGTTGACCCCTTTCTGCAAATTACCGTATTTTTTGCTCTATAAGACTCACTTTTTCCCTCCTAAAAAGTAAGGGGAAATGTGTGTGCGTCTTATGGAGCGAATGCAGGCTGCGCAGCTATCCCAGAAGCCAGAACAGCAAGAGGGATCGCTGCTTTCGCTGCGCAGCGATCCCTCTTGCTGTCCTGGCTTCTGAGATTCAGAATATTTTTTTTCTTGTTTTCCTTCTCCAAAAACTAGGTGCGTCTTAGGGTCTGGTGCGTCTTATAGAGCGAAAAATACGGTGTATTATACTATAACAGCAGCTTCCATTTAGGCAAGTGTGGTCGGTCAAAGGGCACTGGGCAGACGGCCCTCTGCCCTTCCATCCCAGAGTTATCCTTTCCCCAGTGGACCTGCGACTCAGTGGCAACTGAGAACGCTGTGTAGCGACAGATGAGTGTGTGCCTGAGGAGCATCACTGTCACAAAGAAACACGGGGCTTCGGAGAGAAGCACTGGCTGCTATTGAGAGAGGCAGAGGAAAATGTGAGGCAATGGCAAGGAAGCAAGAAGAGGCAGAGGACTGGCAGGCCAATCGGGGAGGTTCAGCAGGAGAACCTATGCCCTGCGTAAGGTACCAGGCTCAATTTCGGGCATCTCTAAGGAAAGGATCTGGGGAGAGAGCAGTGTACCGGGGCTTACAGCACTTAGCACATTTATATATAAGCAGTGAATTAGCTGTTAATTCATCTCTCTCTCTCTCTCTCCATCTCTCCTGACTACTTACCGCACATTCCTACAGTTAAGCTACAAACCACTCTAGAATTACGATTCATTTGATTTAATGCTCAAAGCTAAATCAAAAGGCTTACAGAGATTATAATGCTGCCTCTTCAACGGGGTATGTAGATAACTCACTAAAGAGCAGCTGTTAGTGAATGGGTTTAGGTACTTACTCCCAAAGGCCTTGGCTAAGGTGAACTATAGTTCCCAATATAGCCCCCCTATTGCCCTTGCAACCTGGCACCTCCTGCCCTAACTGTTCCCCTATGAAAAATTTCACCGCACACCACTGGCCACTGGGTTGTGTGCACCTGGGTTCTACTCAAAGTAGACCCATTGGAATTAATGGAGGTAAGTTAGTCGTGCCCATTAAGGTCAATGGGTCCACTTGGAGTAGGCCTAACATTCACTACAGCTCATATTTCCCAACCATGGAATTCTGCAAAGTGCAGCTTAGTGAAAAAGCTCAGGGATCTCTACCAAAAGATTCTCAGAATCATGATTCTCAGAATCAATTAATTAGGATTCTCAGAATCAAGATTTCATGGAACAATAGCTGGGATAGCTCAGTCGGTAGATCTGAGTTCAGGTCGTGGGTTCAAGCCCCACATTGGGCAAACGTTTCCTGCACTGCAGGGGGTTGGACTAGATGACTCTCGTGGTCTGTCCCTTCCAACTCTACAATTCTATGATTCTAGGAACTCCTGAAATTAATAAGGAAAGCCACAACAGTTCAGCCATATGCACACAAAGGAACAGTGCTGTAAATATGCCCTCAGTATAGCTTTTTTTAAATCTCCCCTTGTCTCTTTAAATGCAGATACACCTGAATACTGGAAAAAATGGTATTAGGAAACTGTGGATAATATAATCAATAATATCACAGAATTGCAGAGTTGGAAGGAACCCTCAGGATCATCTAGTCCAATACCCTACAGTGCAGGAATATGCAGCTGTCCTATACAGGGATTGAACTTGAAATCTTGGCATTATCAGCACAAAGCTCTAGTCTAACCAATAAAATCCATAATCAAACAGTTGTCATCCTACCCATCTCTTAAGAGACTTAAAGGTAAAGGGACCCCTGACCATTAGGTCCAGTCGTGGCCGACTCTGGGGTTGCGGCGCTCATCTCGCTTTACTGGCCAAGAGAGCCGGCGTACAGCTTCCGGGTCATGTGGCCAGCATGACTAAGCCGCTTCTGGCGAACCGGAGCAGCGCACGGAAACGCCGTTTACCTTCCCGCAGGAGCGGTACCTATTTATCTGCTTGTACTTTGACATGCTTTCGAACTGCTAGGTGGGCAGAAGCTGGGACCAAACAACGGGAGCTCACCCCATCATGGGGATTCGAACTGCCAACCTTCTGATCGGCAAGTCCTAGGCACTTAGGAATACCTCATTGAGCTTGTATGTTAAAATGCCTCAGGTTTAAATAAGGGTGGCTGCTAGAGCACATTCATGCACTGTTATCTATGCATCTGTTTCCTCACTAACGACATTTATATTTCACATTTCTGCACATATAAAACTATGGCTTACTCCAGTTGGCTGTTGATTCTCCAAGGTTTAAAGGCAGTCCTGCAATCTGAAATCCTTTATCTAGAGATGTCAGGGATTGAACCAAGGACCGGAGTGCTGAGCTACAGCTCACACGGGCAGCTCAGGAAACGGTCAACATTATTTTTAATGCCCATTCTGAAAATATCTTCAGCAATCTTTCCCAGCCCTGCTTCACACAAAAGCCTTTAATCGAAGATGGTGCCAGAAAATACAAGCCTGGGACCATATACGTGCAACCTGCATGCTGTGCTGCTGAGCTGTGACCCTCAAGCTTTCCCACACTGATACTGATTTTGGAAGAGGCTGGTTCTCAGACACTGACAAGAGAGCACTGATTGGTTTGTTCCTAGCAACAGAAAAACCTTTTATTAAAGCGGTCCAGATGACAGCTTTTTATAAGATCAGATGTGTGGTCGGTGAAGGGTTGGCTTTTGAGTGCCAGACGACTCTTCCTTCATTCAGGAATAGGAACAATTCCACACCATAAACTTAAAGCAAATCCAACACACACTTAAAGCACTTGATTTCCATCGAGAAGACGGATATGATGGCCATCTTCAAATACCTCAAGGGCTGTCACATGGAAGAGGGAACAAGCTTGTTTTCTCCTGCTCTGGAGGGTAGGGCATGAGCCAATGGCTTCAAGTTGTAAGGAAGGAGATTCCAACTAAACATCGGGAAGAACTTTCTGACAGCAAGAGCAGTTCGATAGTGGAATGGTCTCCCTTGAGAGGTGGTGGACTCTCCTTCGTGGAGGCTCATAAGCAGAGGTTGAATGGCCATCTGCCATGGATGCTTTAGCTGAGATTCCAGATGGCTCCTTGAGTCCCTTCCAACTCTACAATTCTGTAATTCCATGATCAAAGAATCCTGAGAACTATAGTTTCCCCTCACAGGCAGTGCCGGATTTAAACAAGCTATAGCTTAGGGCCCCACTCTCTTGCCCCCCCCCAAAAAAAATTAAAGAAAAAAACAACTGGATGTACATTTCCAAAATATAAGATAAAAAACAAATAAAACCTGCATACAGCAACAGTGTTTTGTGTTGTGTAGGCTCCTTTTTGTTATGTGCAAATGGCTTTAGATACCTAGTAGGTCCATAAATTACCATACAGAATACATTCAACACAAAAAACAGTAATAATTTGTTGTTGACAAAGGACAGCTGGACATATAAAGGGCCCCATTACCTTCAGGAGCTTAGGGCATCATCAAACCTAAATCTGGCCCTGTCACATAGCTATAATTCCCAGCATCCCTAACAAATTGCATTTCCCAGGATTCCTTGGGGGAAGTCATGAACTTTACTTGTGCAATGGATGCGCTTTAAATGTATGGTGTGGAACTGCCATAATTCTGAAGTAGGTTCTGGCTTGGTGAAAGGAGAATTCGGTGCATCTCAAAGGCTCACTTTTATCAAATGTATCATGCTGCAGACGGACAAATGTTATCAAGAGAGTTTGAAAGAGGCTTTCCTTTCCTTTTCAGGCACACATTATTTTGACTCATTCACTTCTGGTCAAACAGATTTTTGTGGGTTGTTTAAAATGATGCAAATTCCTGCCACACCTGCTTAACATTGGGACACGCAGCGATGCCTCTCAAAATTCCTTCTTTCATTCTTCCCAAAAGGGCAACAATCACTGCCTGCCTCCAACCTTGGCAGCCACTGCAAACAAATAAATAAGATAACTCGCACTTTCTCCAGGCAGGGCATTTGGAGGAAGGAAGGGAAAGTTGCTGCTTCTTTAAGCAGACGGAAATCTAGCGTCTGTAACAGAGGTGTCTCTGGGAGGTTCTCTATACAAGCTTAGATGCTGGTGAAAAGTTTTGTTTCTGGAGGAGAGATGGAAAACTTGAAGTTTATTTTTATGCCTTGCTTACCTTATTGGAAGCCAAAGACGATCCTTTGCTGCGCTGAGATGATGGACCTCTGGTCTGAAGTCTCTCAACTTGGTAGCTCAGCTGGGTCTATCGGTGCAGTCTTTCCAGGAATGTGTGTTTGCGGCTGGCTGCCTTGCTGCTGCTTTTCCTCCCTCTGCACAGGAAATGAGCATCATCGCCTGCTATCCTGAGAGCACAGGCTTTGGTGTAAAACGAGCTGTCAAACACGGTCCTATCCCTTGGACTTCCCTTTTCTTGAATGCATGCAGATTTGGCTCAGATTGCCTGGCAGGCACCAAGGACAGATATCAGGCGATTCAGAGAGGCCCATGACAACTTTCGAAGAACATCCGAGGATGCAGATTTTTCCTGAGGTTGATTTCCTTTCTCTGAACTGCTGTTTCAAAGCTTGCCTCCCTGGTCAAAACCACAGCCTGCAAAGACAGGGTGAGCTGGAGCATCCATAACAATGCAACCAGAGTGCATTGGGTGTTCCTATAGAGTCAACAAGAATGTCCCCTGGGATTCCAGTTGCGAGTTTTTTTCCTTCTCTTTGGCCTCTGTTTCCCTGTCTGCAAAATGGGAGGCCAATAATGATTCCTTGTATGCTTTATGCCATGGGTGGGGAAGCTTTGGCCCTCCAGATGTTGCTGAACAACATCTCCCACCAACGCCAGCCAGTATGGCCAATTGTCAGGGCTGATGGGAATTGTAGTCCAACAACATCTGGAGGATCAAGCTGTCACAGACTGGCTGGATGGAAAGGAGTGGTGGGAGGCACCAGCTGGGGAACCCCCAAGGGAACCTTCAACGGAAGAAGGCTCAGAGCCAGAGGACTGGTGGTGGGACGATGATGAGTGGTCAGAGGGAGAAGAGGCAGCAGACTGGGAGGAGGAGGAGGTGTCAGAAGCTGAAGAGGTAACAGGATTTAGTGAGCAGGAAGAGTCAGTGGCAGAGAGCAGTCCAGACCTATCTGCCTGTCTCCAGGCACTGCGGTCGTCTGCAGGGCCGGATTTAGGTTTGATGAGGCCCTAAGCTTCTGAAGGTAATGGGGCCCTTTATATGTCCAGCTGTCCTTTGTCCAGCTGTCCTTTGTCAACAACAAATTGTCACGCCCTTTTTTGTTGTTGTTGAATATATGCTATATGGTAATTTATGGACCTAATAGCTATCTAAAGCCATAATGGGATCAAAATAAACAAATTATGTATTACATGAAATCAATCAGTAGGCATAAGACTTATACCCTTCGTCTATGCTGCCTGATCATCAGTCTACAAGCACTCTTTAATATTAGGTAACAGGTACAACAGCTTGAGCTACATTCAACTGTGCTGCACCGCAGTCGGCAGCTGCATGTTACATGTTGTTGTGCAACTAGTCCATGCAGAATGTAGGCACCCTATATATAGAAATGAGCAAACCAGTGATATTCTAGGGAGCAGGCTAGCAGGCGGGGCCCGTTACTTACCGTATTTTTTGCTCTATAAGACACACTTTTCCCCTTCTAAAAAGTAAGGGGAAATGTGGAGCGAATGCAGGTGGGAGGCTCTGCTCAGCACTCCCTTTAAAGAGCTGTGTGGAGCGTGTGTTGCCCTTCTCCCTCCTCGGGGAAAAGACCCCAAGAGCCGCACACACACTCCACAAGCTCTTTAAAGGGAGTGTGGCTCTTGGGGGAGCCTTAGCTGCACGCAGCCTCTCCCGGGCAGGGGGATGAAGGCTCCCCTTGCCCAGGAGAGGCTGCACACGGCTATCCCATAAGCCAGGACAGCAAGTGGGATCGCTGCGCAGCGATCCCGCTTGCTGTCCCGGCTTCTGGGATTCAGAATTTTTTTTTCTTGTTTTCCTCTTCCAAAAACTAGGTGCGTCTTATGGTTTGGTGCATCTTATAGAGCAAAAAATATGGTACATCATAGGAGCCTATACAACACAAAACACTGTTGCTGTATGTAGGTTTTATTTTATTTCTTTTTTATCTTATATTTTGGAAATGCACATCCAGTTTTTTCCCCTTTAATTTTTTTGGGGGTCCCCCAAGAGTTTGGGGGCCTAAGCTATAGATTGTTTAGCTTATTCGTAAAACTGGCGCTGGCGTCTGCAACGGATCCTCACTTGGGGGGGGGGTTGACGTTGCCAGCCTTCATGTCACATTTGCAGGTATCTTTGTAACAGGAGTTGGTCAGGAGCGCTACCTGAAGCCAGCTCCTCACAGAGACAGCTGATTTTGCAACTGGCCTGTGGATCACACGATACCTGACATGAAGCTCCTAAGTTTAAAATACTACTTGATCTTGTAGAGGAGTCATCGTGGCCCAAGGGTAGGGTACATACTTGGTATATTTAAGGTCCCAGATTCAAATCTTTCATTCCAGATTGTAGATCTGGGAAAGACCTTGGGTGGGGGAGGGGAGAGGAACATCTGTATTTTGATTTATAATTGGAACTGCATTTCACCAGAAAAGGTTAGCTTTTCAAAAGTGTGATGAGGTAAGAAAGACTTGTTGATTGGAAGAGCAGCAACATGCAGAGATGCAATGGTCCATCTCATTTGAGCTTGATTAATTCAGACGACTCTCTGCTCCGGGTTGTTCCAGTCACACCTGATCTGGAGGTGTGGCAGAATTAACTGTCCCACAGTGGAAGCTGATTGGAAGGAACTAAGGCTCATCAGCCTCCACAGTGGGCAGGAACCATTGATTATGTACTTCACAGTTGTCTCTTGGCTTGCAGAGTCTGGTAATCACTCACGTTGGTCTCCTGGAGAAAAGGTGTAGTGGAATAAGAGGGAAACCTTGCTGGTTCAGGCCAAGGATCCATCTAGTCCAGCATTCTGGCCAACCAGATGTCTCTGCAAAACCCACAAGCAGTATATAAAGCAGGCATGCCCAAAGTCCACTTTGGGGGCCTAATCCGGCCCTTGTGGCAGTTTATTTCCTGAGGTAAAATCCTAAAAAAAAACCCTCAACAAGTTCAGTCCTAAAAAAAGCTCAACAATTTCAATCCTTTTTTTAAAAAAAAGACACATACAATAAAAACCATACTAACAATAATAACACAATTTGACAATTCAGATTTGAATACACTGATATACCTACGACTACACCTTTTTAAACAATATTTTCCCACCTCTCTCTCTTCCCCCTACTTCTCACAACTATCCGCCTTATCGCTTAAATATTCATTCCAGATTTCTTCATATTTTTCCATTCTTATTTTGCATCAACACACAATTTGTTCATATGTAGCTAATCTGTCCATATTATCAATCCATGTTCTCAATGGAATCTTTTTGCGGCTCTTCCAATTCATCAAAACAAGTTTTTTTTGCTTCTTGGTACATCCATTATTTTTGACCCCCTGAAATCTCCCACGTTTCCGGAATATAATTTAGAATTAAATTCAGTTCCCCTAAATAACATTTTCTTTTTATTACCTTTGCTTCAATCCTAAAAAAAGTTTGGCCCTTTGGTTGGCCCTCATGGCCCTTCACGTCATCAAATCTAGCACTCCTTGAAAAAAGTTTGGAGACCACTGGAAAATGGCCTTTTTCTGGCGATTGCTCTCCAGCAACTGGTATTCAGGAGTCTCAGAACACTGGAGGGTCCATACAGCCATATAATCCATATAGTCTGTATATCAGGGATGGGGAATCTGAGAACCAGGGGACAACGCCAGCTCCCCCAGGCCTTTCCATTTGGACCTTGAAACTCTCCCCAGGCTACAGACCTCTGCAAATTTTCCTCACTCCCTTGCAAGTGCAATGTTATAGGGGTAAACTGAGGAAACCTGGGAGAACTGGGGGCATGACGTTGTGTTGTATGTCCTAGAAAGCAAACTTTAAGTTATTAGGTGGGGACAGACTCCGAGCTAAGCCCAGGGCCGCTAGGATTGTGACACAACTAATCAGCAAAAGATGATGGCTCTGCACTTTCTGGCAGGGAAGGGGGGGTGAGGAGGGGACTTTGGCTTGGCTCCAGCAAGGGGCCAAAAGGCCTTTATGTTTGAAACAATTGCTGGAAATCTCCATTTCAGACGAGGTCAACAATCAGATCGGAAGGAAGGCTCGACTGGAACAGGGAAGTGCACTTGCCCAGATAAGTCAGGCCTTTTAAACAATAAACCAAGGCTGGAAAACAGGTATCCTGGGTTTGCAACAGAGCAACTGCCCCAGGAGCTGGGATCGGCTTATTTAACCTATACCTTTGACTGTGTCCCCTCTCCCCAACCTCTCACAGTAATTGTCCACAATTGGGACTGGTTTGGAGAACATTTAACTGCTATGTTGGGCCTCATATGGTTCCCGCAGGCAAAGGGATCACTTTATTTCTCATGACTTGGTTCCGTGCAGCTGAGGTTAGATCTACACAGGGAGGGGGGCAGAATTCTGCAAGGGCAAAGTGGACTGCATCATTTCAGACTGCTTTGTAGCTCCTCGCTTGAGGCTCCCCTGGATCCAGAGATCAGTTTCCTCTCTGTTTGGAGTAGAGATAAAATGAGAAGCCTTTTCCGTTACAAAAAAGCGGCTTGAGATGGGTCCTTTCTCCCAGGCCTTGACAGATAGCAGGTTATATAAACTGCCTTCAGGAAGAGAGAAAGGAAAGAGCGATAAGAGAGGCTGAGGAAGGCGACTCCGTTTCCAAGCCTTATCATTCAGCCCACTCCCATCCCAACTGAACCTTGTCAGCACTTTGGTTCCATGTGAAATCTTGCAAAGGAATAAGGTCTCTGGCATCCTCTTCGAAGAGCATTTTTACACGTGCCACCTGGTGGGGCAGCCCCCTCCCCAAATGACCACTGAGGGGGCAGATGGTGGTGGCAAAGGCAAACTGGCCAAACACTTAGACTGGCATGAGTATTGCGCTGCCAATGGGGCAGTCAGCTGGAGACATCCATGGACACAGATGCTCTTCTGAAAAAAACACATTATACTTTTACGCAACAAAATAGTGCCTATTCCTGATGTTTAGCATCAGGGCAGCAGAAGCAAAAATCCATATTATTCCAGTAGTCATGATGGTGCTGTGATTTAAGCTGATTTCGAATGAGCAACTGCACATGCTCAGAGTTTTCCTTTTCCTGGCAAGCTGTTTTGTATGTTTCGTAACATGATTAGTACTCCAGCGTATCAGGAATTCTGAAGCAGTTGTAAAGCAT